AGATTTTTCACATTTTTCCTCATTCTTTGGTTTTTTATTTCTCGGTTTTTCGATTGTTTAAATTTTAAAATATTTGATTTTTCGATTGTCCGATTTCGTAGTATTTCGAATTTTAGAATTTAAATATTCTTGACTTTTTGATTTCTCGAGATACCGATTTATCAACTTCTCGGTTTTCCACTTTTCAATTTCACAATTTCTCGATTTTTCAATTTTTAAATTGTTCGATTTCTCGACTTTTCGATTCCTCGAATTCTCGATTTTACGATTTTTTCAGGTTTTCGAATTTTAGATTTTAGGATTTTTTGAATTTTTGATTTCTCGAGGTATCCTTTTCTATCGACTTTTCGGTTTTCTCGATTTTTCAATACATATTTCGATTTAAATTTTTCAGTTTTTTGAATTTAGGATTTCTTGACTTTTTCAATTTTTAGATTTTTGAACTTTTGACTTTTCGATTTCTCAACTTTTCAGTTTTGCGATTTTTCGTTTCTTCGATTCTTAATTTCATATTGATCCGAAGAAAACGAGGGGGTGGGTGGGCGGGCCTAGTACCTGTTAAGATAAGACTGATTTTGGCAAATGAAATATCTTCGAACAAAAGAGAGGGCGGGTGGGCGGGGTTAGTACCTGCTAAGATAAGAATGATTTTAGCTAATGAGACACCTTCTAAGAAAACAGAGGATGAGTGGGCGGGGTTAGTAGCTGTCAAGATAAGACTGATTTTAGCAAATGAGATACCCTCTAAGAGAAGAGAGGGTGGGTGGGTGGGGCTAGTATTTGATAAGATAAAACTGATATTGCGAAATGGCATACCCTCGAAGAAAATAAAGGGTGGGTGGGCGGGGCCAATACTTGCCAAGATGAGACTTATTTTGGCAAATGACTTACCCTCCAAGAAAATAAAGGGTAAATGAGGGTATATCATTCGCCAAAATCAGTCTTATCTTGCCAACTATTGGCCCTGCCCACCGACCCGTTAGTTTTTCGAGAGTATGCCATTTGGCAATATAAGTTTTATGTTAGCAAATACTAGTCCCGCCCACCCACCCTTTCTTCTCTTAGAGGGTATCTGAGTTGCCAAAATCACTCTTATCTTGACAAGTACGAGCCCCACCCACCTGCCCTTTATTTTCTTAGAGGGCTAGAACTTCCTAAGATAAGACTGATTTTGGGAAATGAGATTGATTCCTCTTAGAAAATATAAGATTGTTTTAAATTTTCAAAAAAAAAAAAACGAGTCCCAATATTAACTCAAAAACAGGTCAGGTCATAATTTTCCAAAAATGGAACACCAAAGTCTCCCAAAATTTTTCATTCCGATTTTTAATTTCCTTATTATTGTTCCATTTTTTGGTGTTCCAACTTTTTAATTTTTCGTATTTTCAGTTTTAGATTTTTCAGTTTATCGATTTTTCAGTTTTTTGTTTCTTGAATTTTGATTCACAGTTTTTCTAGTTTTCATTTTAAGTACGTAATAATAATTACAATTTTTAAAATGTTTTACTTTTTCAATTTTACGATTTTAGAATTTTTTCATTTTTCAGTTATTGGATTTTAAAACTTTTTCTGTTTTTAGTTTTCAGTAGTAAAAATTAAACAATTTAAAAATCGAAGAATTGGAAAACCAAAAAATCTGAACCGAGAACTTGAAAAATCGAATAATCGAGAAATCAAAACATCAAGGAAAACAAAAAAATTAACGGAAAATGTAGAACTTAAAAATTGAAAAATTAAAATACCTATCGAAAAATTGAAAAACCGAGAAATCGAAACATCAAAAAATGGAAAAATTGAAGAACCGAAACATTGCAAAATCCCAGAACTGAAATACTGAAAAACTGAAAAATAGAAGGAAAATTGAAAAATCGAAAAAGTGAAAAAATTCAAAACTGAAAAATGGAAAGAAAACTGAAGAATCGGAAAAGTGAAAAAATCCAAAACTGAAACATTGAAACATTCAGAAATGGAAAAATTGAAAAATCACAATTGAAGAAAGAATTGAAAAATCGAGAAATAGAGAAATGGGAAAATCAAAAAATCAGTTAATCGAAAAATTGAGAAATCGAAAAATTTAAAAACGTCAAAAATTGAAAACTGAAGAATAAAAAAAATTAAAAATCGTAACACTGAAACATCGGAAAATTGAGAAATCGAAAAATGAAGAAATTCGAGAAACCGAAAATATGAAGAATCGAGAAATCGAAGAATCGATAAATTGAAAAATCCCAACAGTAATATGTCGAAAAATTGAGAAATCGAAATCGGGCAAAACTGAACTACCGTAAAGTTAATAAATTGAAAAACTGAAAATTTTTGAAAAAAAAATCGTATCAAAAACCAAAAATTCAAAAAATCGAGAAATTGAACAATCAAAAAGTCAAAACATTGAAATCCCAGTAAGTTGATAAACAGGAAAATTTAAAAAACAAAAATTTTAAAAATCCAAGAATTGAACAAAAAAAAATCTAAGCCTGAAAAGTCAGAAAATCGAATGATCGAGAACTCAATACATCAAAGAAAACAAAAAATCTAAAATTTAAAAATTCGACAAATTGAAAAATCATGGAACTGAAAAATCGTGAGAAATCTAAAAACCTAAAACTTTAAAAACTGAAAAATTAAAATATCGAAAAATTTAAAAACCGAGAAAACACAATATCAAAAATTTGAAAAATTGAAGAAACGAAATATTGCAAAATTCCAAAGCTGAAATATTGAAAAACCTAAAAATGGAAGGAAAATTAAAGAATCAAAACAGTGAAAAAATCGCAAACTGAAACATTGAAAAATTGAGAAATGGAGAAACGGGAAAATCAAAAAAATCGGTCTAAAGAGTTTAGACAGTACTTCCCTCGCTATCGGAAACGTGACGACTGCATGCCTATTATGTTTTTTTTCCACATTAGATTTCAAAGCATTCGGTTTTGTAGTTCCTGATTAAATCAATAAAATAAATTTGCGCATTCATTAAATTTTTTGAGTCACCCTGTATATCCGAATCCAAAAAATATGAATGGAATGATAAATTACAAAAAGAGACTCATCATATTTTGTACATTTTAAATAAGATTATTCGGCAAACTTTAGAGCTGACGTCATCAATTTTTTGGAGGGGATAAGTAAATATATTGTGATTAAAACGGTCCTGGTTTAATAACAAAAAAATATTGTTCGCCTATGCAACAAGCTCGTCTTAGACAAAGTATTCGTAAAAAAAATATGTCGTAAAAAAATGTACGTATGCTGCTCCCGATTGCGATTATGGTTTAAATATTTGTTAGATAATCCTGACAATAGCGAAAACTGTGGAGTCTCTGTTGTACAATATATTTAGAGGTAATAGTCATACATACTATGGACAGCAAAGTGAGGAAAAAGCTGTCAAGTGTTTTGAAATAAATAAAAATATAAAAACTGAACGGTGTGTCTTTATTTCAAAACAATTTCCTTACTTGGCTGCTAGTCCAGATATTCTAGAGGATAGGAGTGCATTAGTCGAAATTAAATGCCCTTCAAAATCGCAAGATTTGTCTCCCGAAGAAGCGGTTAGAAAAAAAATAATCAAATTTTGTACATTGACAGACAGAGAATTGAAAGTAAAAAAAAATCATGATAACCACTTTCAAGCCCAGGGACAAATGCTTGTTACGGGTATTTCACAAGTTTATTTTGTTGTGTGGACACCCAAAGGAATTAAATATAGAAAAAAAAACGAAGAAATATGTAACAAGATGGCAGATAAACTTGGCAGATTTTACTTTGGCGCATTATTGCCCGAAATAATTGATTTAAGAAGAAAGAGGAACCTGCCTTTGCGAGAGATTTTTTTTAAATAAATAAAATTTGCTTCTATTTTTTTATGTACTTTAATGATTTATTAGGAGTACATTTTTCATCACCAAGACTTGCATTTTTTTATTATAAATATATTTTGAAAATGATCTCTCGGCAAATGAAAACATATACGAGCACTTCTTTCGAGTAAACAATGAAGGGAGAAGTTACTGGGCGTAGGGCTTTTTTAAAACACCTCCTTTCTGGGATAAGTAGTATATACACTTAGCTACTTATACGTGTTAAGCAAAAGCTGTATTTTATATATTTTTTATTATTATTATAAATATGTTTATTAGTTTTATTAATTAACAAAGCAAAATATATATTAACAATAATATTACAATGAATTTTTAGTAATCATGTGTATTGAATTCAGGATCCTGAGTGGAGTAAAAATATTATAGTTCCCCAGTTTTAATTCGGTTTTATGGTAGTACCTCATTGCGTAAAAGTTAATTTCCTTAACAATAGATTACTACGGCCGGTCCTGGCGGCTTGTTATAAAACTGAGTTCCTTGCCATAAATTAGAAAAATCAGTCGAGAACTCTAACAATCAGCTTATGGTAAAGCAGGCGATAAGGGTTTTACCTGAAAGTCGCTTCCGTAAATTTTAGTGGCGCTCCTATCGGCAAAGCACTGAACTAACTGCTCAAATTCTGTCGAATTGATACCCATTTTTTTCAATAATTGTTAGTTTTTGTTAAAAACTCTGCTAACCAATAGATCATTAATTTTCCTCTGATATTCCTGTTAAAATTATTCGACGTATTTTGCATTAATTTGTGGTATATTTTGATTTTAATAAACACATTATTATTTAAACAAATTGTACCACTAACAAACATTTAATGACTCTGCGCCCTGTAAAAAGTGATGTTTTATCCATGTGCGAATTTTCAAGCGATTCTATGATGGTTATGACTCAAAAAACTTGAAAAGAAAACATACATTGGTGCTTTTTGTACGTTATTTCTCAGCCATATTTTTTTAGTTGATTGAACTGGTCTCTGCGCTCTAGAATATGAAAAAAGCTGCACTTTTGATGTATGATACATCTACATTAATATCATTTTTTCATACAAAAAACCAAAAAAATGTTATACCTCGTCTAGCGAGTCCCCTTAAGTAACGACTAACTTTGACGTGTTGACTTATCCAGGAGACGACCACAACCACCACCAACAACAACAACAATAACAACAACAACAACAACAACGTGAACTTTTCGCAAACGAATAGTAGTACGACGAATTCGACGTCAGGAGTGAGTCAGCCAATAGGCAACGAAATTCAGGACTTGATAATGCACCACCAGAACCATTCGGCGTCGACGGCCGCCACGAACCTGTCGGCTATTAACTCGAATTATCACCACTTCGGCGACCCCACCGATTTTCACCATCATAATCATGCACACAATATACATAATCAGATTTTGGCTTCGGGGCACAACCAGAGGTCTGCCACTCAGCATCATAATAATAATATTGTTAATCACCACATGTTGGCAAGAACTAATCACTCCACAGCCACTTCAACTGCCGCCGCCGTCGCCGCCGCGATGATGCTCGATCCGAGGTTCCACCACAACACTTCCGTAAGTAAATCTGACCCGTTGATGACACAAATCTGAAAAAATGTGAGCTGTAATAAAAGATATAGGGTTCAATGACTGAATAAATCATTGTGTGGAGTTCCGCGCCTATAAATAATGCTCAAACATTTATTCCTCAAATATTTAACTTTGGCTTAATGGACCTGTAACAAAGTACAAGTCACTAGAAACAACCTCGCTAGTTAAAAGTGACGTTCAGAATTTGTTACGCGTCACACCTACTTTTTTCGCACCTGTCGTTAGTTAGTTTTGGATTGAGATGTTTTTTTTTTTTTGGGTTGAAGGTGCCCTACCACCCCACTACGACCCCGGTTTCGATGGCCATGGCGGCCGTTCAGTCCTCGCAGCAAATCCAAGCCTCCGGACAGCACTCCGAGTATCCGCCATCTCTGCAGAACTGCATGACTCTCTTCTAGTCTGAATACTTGTGATTCCTATTTTGTTATCTAGTTTTTAATTGTATTACTCGGTATTTGTTGATCTCAATGTTGTACGTTTCTGTTGATTTACTAGCATGTTATGTTCATGTTTTGTTCTCATAGGTTTTATATTATTATTATCTTCGCACGAAAAGTAATAAACAGTAATGTGTATCGTAGAGTTGCGTTTTTTACCTCGTCACACTGTCATTCACACATCTAATGCCAATAAGAAAAATGATCCGAGTAAAAATAGACGCAAACTTAGAAATAGAAAGAAATTCGTATAAATAGTTGGAAGCAGCGGCGACACGTAGGTTTTAGTTTTGGGCAAGAAACTAGTTTCTAGGCGAGAAGGACTGAATTTCAAGAAGGTTTGTATTGTTTTTTATAAAATAAAAAAATCAATTCTTGGGAAGTTTTTTTTAATGCATTTTTTTAACATTTCACCCCATTTTTAAGGTTATTTTGCATTAATCGTGTTTGTCCGTCTGTCTGTCTGTTCGTCTGTCCGCATTTTTATTAAACAAATACTAGCCGAAACTACTGGACCGATTGTATATTATAAAAAACAAAGAAATAATGATTTTAAGCTCCACCCTCTTGACTCACGATGAATAAAGAAAGTCATCACGATCGAGACAGGGTGGGTGGGCGGGGCTTAATCTTTGTTTTTTTTTTAATAATATATAGTTTTCCTTCAACAGGATAGTTAACATGTTTTTAGTTTCTTGTTGGAAAAAAAGACTTCATATATTAAGAAAAAATGGACAAAATATAAGCCCCGCCCACCCACCCCTTCTCGATTGTGATGAATTTTTTATTCATCGTGAGCTGAAGGGTGGACTTCAGTTGCTAAATTCTCATTTTTCTACAAGAAATTACCATATGAAATATGTTTTTAAAAGGGTCAAAATTTGTAGAGATATTTTGATGTCACAATTAAACTCCGCCCCTCGGTCTGATTAGGAATGAAAAACTTATCACAAGTCAGATCGGGGCTGGTGGGTGGGGCTTAATCTTTGTTTTTTTCTTTTTTTTTTAATATATAGAGTTTTCTTTCAACAACAAGGTAACATATTTTCAGTTTCTTGTTCGAAAAAAAAAGACTTCATATATTAAGAAAAAATGGATCAAATATAAGCCCCGCCCACCCACCCCTTCTCGATTGTGATGAATTTTTTATTCATCGTGAGCTAAAGGGTGGAGTTTAGTTACTAAATCCTCATTTCTCTACAAGAAATTACCCTATGAAATATGTTTTTAAACGGGTAGAATTTTGAAGAGAAATTTTCATGTCACAATTAAATCCGCCCCTCGTCCTGACTAGGAATAAAAAACTCATCACAATTGAGATCGGGGCGGGTGGGTGGGGCTTAATCTTTGTTTTTTTTTTCTTTCACGTAGAATAACTTCTACTTTCTCGTTTTTCTCGAAAACTGAAGAAATGAAAAAAATAAATAAAAATTCAAAATTCTTGAAATTTCCAATCTAAAAACTGCAAAATTTTTTTTAATGGATTTTTTAACATTTCACCCCATTTTTAAGGTTATTTTGCATTTATCGTGTTTGTCCGTCTGTCTGTCTGTTCGTCTGTCCGCATTTTTATTAAACAAATACTCTCCGAAACTACTGGACCGATTGTATATTACAAAGAATAAAGAAATAATGATTTTAAGCTCCACCCTCTTGACTCACGATGAATAAAGAAAGTCATCACGATCGAGACAGGGTGGGTGGGCGGGGCTTATATTTTGCCTTATATATGGATTCTGTAATTACGCTCCATCCCTTAGTCCGACAATGAATGGGAAATTCATCACGATTGAGATCCAGACGCATGGGTGGGGCTTATATTTTGTTTTTTTCTTTTTTTTTTAAATAACGCATAATTTTTTCCGAGCAACACCACCACTGAAGAACATGTTTCACAGGGTAATTCTTGTAGAAAAATACGGTTTTTGCAGTTAAGCTCCGCCCCCTTTGACTAACGACGAACAAAAAAAATGCGTCACAATTGAGATAGGGTGGGTGGGTGGGGCTTATGTTTTGCATTTTTTCTTCTTCTTAATATATATTGTTTTTCTTCCATAACAAGAAACTGAAAACATGCTTCAAATGGTAAATTTTATCCCATACATTTCTCTACAAATTTACCCTTTTAAACATATTTTCAGTCTCTTGTCGTGAAAACAAAAGGATGTGCATATATTAAGAAAAACAAACGCAAAATATAAACCCCGCCCACCCACCCGCATTTCAATCGTGCTAATGTTTTTATTCGTTGTGAGTCGAAGGGCGGAGTTTATTGCAAAATGCTTATTTCTCGTCAAGAAACTATTATGTGAAACATGTTTTTAAATGTTGTTAAAATAAACTATATATGTTAAGAAAAACAATCCAAAAAATAAGCCCCACCCACCCACCCGCGTCTCAATTGTGATGAATTTTTCATTCGTTGTCAGACCGAGGGGCGGAGCTTAATTGTAAAATCGATGTTTCCCGACAAAAATTTACCATATTAAACGTTTTAAATATATTGTACTGAAAAGGCAAAATTGCTGATGTACTCGTTGTAAATATTTCTCTTATTGATCTCAAGCTGTAGAAGTTTTTTGCGGCTTCAATTTCTCGAGTTTTTATCTTTTCAATTTTTGCAATTTTTTGACTTGGAATTTTTGACTTTTCGATTTCTCGGTTTTAAAATGTTTGCAATTTTTCGACTTGGAATTTTTGACTTTTCGATTTTTCGTTTTTTTTTCTTTTCAATTTTTCGAGTACGAATTTTTTACTTTTCGATGTCTTATTTTTTTCCCATTTTTCAATACATACATATTTCGATTCTTCAATTTTTCGGTTTTTAATTTTAGAATTTTTAATTTTTAACTTTTCGATTTTTCGGTTTTGGCCTATTTCGATTTCTCAACCTTCTGATGTTTCGATTTTCCAATTTTTCTTTTTCAGCTTTTCAGTATTTCAATTCCCCAAATTTTCCTCATTTCAGTTTTGAAATTTTTCAGATTCACAATTTTTCAGTTTTTCGATTCATCAATTTTTCAATTTTTTCGATTTTTAGATTTCTCGGTTTTGCAGTTTTTCGATTCTTCAGTTTTTCTTCCATTTTTAAATTCTCGATTTTTCGGTTTTTTGATTTGTGGATTTATCAAGATTTTGACGTTTCGATTTTCTAATTGTTCAATTTCCCGATTTTTCAATTTTCAACTTCGATTTTTCGGCTTGGCCTTTTTCGATTTCTCAAACTTCTGATTTTATCGATTTTTCGGCATTTCCATTTTCCAATTTTTCTGTTTCAGCTTTTCAGTTTTTCAATCCCCTAATTTTCCTCATTTCAGTTTGGAAAATTTTCAGATTCCCGATTTTTCAGTTTTTTGATTCTTTAGGTTTCTGATTTTTCAATTTTTGCGATTTTTCGACTTCGAATTTTTGATTTTTTATTTTCTCGAGTTTTTTGTTTTTCAGTTTCGCCATTTTTCGATGTTTCAGGTTTGGGATTTTTCGACTTGAAATTTTTGACTTTTCGATTTTTCGATTTTTTTACTTCTGAATTTTTCAATTTCTGCAATTTTTCGACAACGATTTTTTTATTTTTCGATTTCTCAATTTTTTCCCCATTTTTCAATGCATACATATTTCGATTTTTGAATTTTTCAATTTCTAAATTTTAGAATTTTTAATTTTTAGTTTTTCGATTTTTCGGTTTTGGCTTATTTCGATATCTCAACCTTCTGATGTTTCGATTTTTCGGCATTTCAATTTTCCAATTTTTCTCTTTCAACTTTTTAGTTTTTCAATTCCCCAAATTTTCCTCATTTCAGTTTTGAAATTTTTCAGATTCACAATTTTTCAATTTTTCGATTCATCAATTTTTCAATTTTTTCGATTTTTAGATTTCTCGGGTTTTGAGTTTTTCGATTCTTCAGTTTTTCTTCCATTTTTTAAATTCTCTATATTTCGGTTTTTTGATTTGTGGATTTATCAAGATTTTGACGTTTCGATTTTCTAATTCTTCAATTTTCAACTTCGATTTTTCGGCTTTGGCATTTTTCGATTTCTCAATCTTCTGGTTTTATCGATTTTTCGGCATTTCCATTTTCCAATTTTTGTGTTTCAGCTTTTCAGTTTTTCAATCCCCTAATTTTCCTCATTTCAGTTTGGAAAAGTTTCAGATTCCCGATTTTTCAGTTTTTTGATTCTTTAGGTTTCTGATTTTTCAATTTTTGCGATTTTTCGACTTCGAAGTTTTGATTTTTTATTTTCTCGAGTTTTCTGTTTTTGAGTTTCTCCATTTTTCTGTTTCAGGTTTGGGATTTTTCAGTTTTTTGTTTCTTCAACTTTTTTCCATTTTTCAATATTTCCAATTGTCAGTTTTGGAGTTTTTCAATATTTCGATTTAATTTTTCGATCACCGGATTTTTTATCTTTTCGATTTTTGCAATTTTTTGACTTGGGATTTTTGGCTTTTCGATTTCTCGATTTTTATCTTTTCGGTTTTAAAATTTTTCGCAATTTTTCGACTTGGAATTTTTGACTTTTCGATTTTTCGATTTTTTTACTTTTCAATTTCTGCAATTTTTCGACTACGAATTTTTTATTTTTCGATTTCTCAATTTTTTCCCATTTTTCAATGCATACATATTTCGATTTTTGAATTTTTCGACTTGGAATTTTTAACTTTTCGATTTTTCGGTTTTGGCCTATTTCGATTTCTCAACCTTCCGATGTTTCGATTTTTCGGCATTTCAATTTTCCAATTTTTCTCTTTCAGCTTTTCAGTTTTTCAATTCCCCAAATTTTCCTCATTTCAGTTTTGAAATTTTTGAGATTCACAATTTTTCAGTTTTTCGATTCATCAATTTTTCAATTTTTTCGATTTTTAGATTTCTCGGTTTTTGAGTTTTTCGATTCTTCAGTTTTTCTTCCATTTTTTAAATTCTCGATTTTTCAGTTTTTTGATTTGTGGATTTATCAAGATTTTGACGTTTCGATTTTCTAATTGTTCAATTTCCCGATTTTTCAATTTTTCAATTTTCAACTTCGATTATTCGGCTTTGGCCTTTTTCGATTTTTCACTCTTCTGATGTTTCGATTTTTCGGCATTTCCATTTTCCAATTTTTTTGTTTCAGCTTTTCAGTTTTTCAATCCCCTAATTTTCCTCATTTCAGTTTGGAAAATTTTCAGATTCCCGATTTTTCAGTTTTTTGATTCTTTAGGTTTCTGATTTTTCAATTTTTTGTTTCTTCAACTTTTTTCCATTTTTCAATATTTCCAATTGTCAGTTTTGGAGTTTTTCAATATTTCGATTTAATTTTTCGATCTCCGGATTTTTTATCTTTTCGATTTTTGCAATTTTTTGACTTGGGATTTTTGGATTTTCGATTTCTCGATTTTTATCTTTTCGGTTTTAAAATTGTTTGCAATTTTTCGACTTGGAATTTTTGACTTTTCGATTTTTCGATTTTTTTACTTTTCAATTTTTCAATTTTTGCAATTTTTCGACTACGAATTTTTTATTTTTCGATTTCGCAATTTTTTTCCCATTTTTCAATGCATACATATTTCGATTTTTCAATTTTTCAATTTCTAAATTTTAGAATTTTTAATTTTCAACTTTTCGATTTTTCGGTTTTGGCTTATTTCGATTTCTCAACCTTCTGATGTTTCGATTTTTCGGTATTTTAATTTTCCAATTTTTCTCTTTCAGCTTTTCAGTTTTTTAATTCCCCAAATTTTCCTCATTTCAGTTTTGAAATTTTTCAGACTCACAATTTTTCAGTTTTTCGATTCATCAATTTTTCAATTTTTTTTATTTTTAGATTTCTCGGTTTTTGAGTTTTTCGATTCTTCAGTTTTTCTTCCATTTTTTAAATTCTCGATTTTTCAGTTTTTTGATTTGTGGCTTTATCAAGATTTTGACGTTTCGATTTTCTAATTGTTCAATTTCCCGATTTTGCAATTTTTCAATTTTCAACTTCGATTTTTCGGCTTTAGCCTTTTTCGATTTCTCACTCTTCTGATGTTTCGACTTTTCAATTTTTGCGATTTTTCGACTTGGAATTTTTGATTTTTTATTTTCTCGAGTTTTCTGTTTTTCAGTTTCGCCATTTTTCGATGTTTCAGGTTTGGGATTTTTCAGTTTTTTGTTTCTTCAACTTTTTTCCATTTTTCAATATTTCCAATTGTCAGTTTTGGACTTTTTCAATATTTCGATTTGATTTTTCGATTTCCGGATTTTTTATCTTTTCGATTTTTGCAATTTTTTGACTTGGGATTTTTGGCTTTTCGATTTCTCGATTTTTTATTTTTTCGGTTTTAAAATTTTTTGCAATTTTTCGACTTGGAATTTTTGACTTTTCGATTTTTCGATATTTTTACTTTTCAATTTTTCAATTTCTGCAATTTTTCGACTACGAATTTTTTATTTTTCGATTTATCAATTTTTCCCCATTTTTCAATGCATACATATTTCGATTTTTCAATTTTTCGATTTCTAAATTTTAGAATTTTTAATTTTTAGCTTTTCGATTTTTCGGTTTTGGCTTATTTCGATTTCTCAACCTTCTGATGTTTCGATTTTTCGGCATTTCCATTTTCCAATTTTTCTCTTTCAGATTTTCAGTTTTTCAATTCCCCAAATTTTCCTCATTTCAGTTTTGATATTTTTCAGATTCACACTTTTTGAGTTTTTCGATTCATCAATTTTTCAATATTTTCGATTTTTAGATTTCTCGGTTTTTGAGTTTTTCGATTCTTCAGTTTTTCTTCCATTTTTTAAATTCTCGATTTTTCAGCTTTTTGATTTGTGGATTTATCAAGATTTTGACGTTTCGATTTTCTAATTGTTCAATTTCCCGATTTTTCAATTTTCAACTTCGCTTTTTCGGCTTTGGCCTTTTTCGATTTCTCAATCTTCTGATTTTTCGATTTTTCGGCATTTCCATTTTCCAATTTTTCTGTTTCAGCTTTTCAGTTTTTCAATCCCCTAATTTTCCTCATTTCAGTTTGGAAAATTTTCAGATTCCCGATTTTTCAGTTTTTTGATTCTTTAGGTTTCTGATTTTTCAATTTTTGCGATTTTTCGACTTCGAATTTTTGATTTTTTATTTTCTCGAGTTTTCTGTTTTTCAGTTTCTCCATTTTTCGATGTTTCAGGTTTGGGATTTTTCAGTTTTTTGTTTCTTCAACTTTTTTCCATTTTTCAATATTTCCAATTGTCAGTTTTGGAGTTTTTCAATATTTCGATTTAATTTTTCGATCTCCCGATTTTTTATCTTTTCGATTTTTGCAATTTTTTGACTTGGGATTTTTGGCTTCTCGATTTCTAGATTTTTTATCTTTTCGGTTTTACAATTTTTTGCAATTTTGCGACTTGCAATTTTTGACTTTTCGATTTTTCGATTTTTTTACTTTTCGATTTTTCAATTTTTCAATTTCTAAATTTTAGAATTTTTAATTTTTAACTTTTCGATTTTTCGGTTTTGGCTTATTTCGATTTCTCAACCTTCTGATGTTTCGATTTTTCGGTATTTTAATTTTCCAATTTTTCTCTTTCAACTTTTCAGTTTTTCGGTTCCCCAAATTTTCCTCAGTTCGGCCTTGGAATTTTTCAGATTATCTATTTTTCAGTTTTTCCTTATGAAATTTTCGACCATCTTTGAAAATTACCTGAATAGATTTTTTTGATGCCCAGAATTTAATTTAGGCTTCATTTCTTGGAAAAATTCAACCACTTTTCCATAATAATTCATTTGAAATTTTGTGTGTTTTTAGGATCAAGAAAAAAACTTTCAAACCGATTTTGAATTTTTAGACAGTTTTTTCAAAAACTTAAGTTTTCCTTGTGAAATCTTCTTTCGATCACCTACGAAAATTACCTGGAGATTTTTTGTTTTCATTCTATGAATTTTTCGGTTTTTTAATTTCTCGATTTTGCTATTCTTGATTTGCAATTTTCGGTTTTTTATTATCACATTTTTAGTTTTTCAAGTTTTTTTTCGAGTATGTAATTTTTTTATTTTCCAGTTCTTTCAATTCTTTTCCCTATTAAGTTTTAAATTTTTTCAATTTCCGCTTTTTCGATTATTCCGTTTTTATTTTCAAGTTCTAGTATGTGTTTAATCAATGCTTCATACTATAAATTGTGGAAAAATGATGAAAATTTTCTAGAAAATGAAAAGGAAACAAATTATGTATTTACACTAAACATGCAGATCTTGGGAAAAAATTCAAAATTGATGACAATATTCTGCAATTTAATCAAAATTTATTCGTTTAGCCCCTCCCAAAAATTGATGACGTCATCTCAAAATTTTGTCTATCTAAATAATGCAAAATATTATGACTATACTTCATAATTTTTATATGGGTGACTCAATGGGGCTATGAAGCTTCCTGATTTTTTTTTGATTTTTTAAATGATGCTACCTGCAGAAAAATGACATCGTGTGCTTTATCGGTGTCTCAAACTTCAACGGTTGACTTTTCTGGGTCAAAAAAAATCTGTCATTATCAGAAAACTCCAAGGAATCGAATGGTACAAACAAAAAGACGATATCTTGAACCGTTTCGAAATGATAAATTCGTAAACTCCAAAAATATTTTTTTTGATATATAAAAAATGTTCAGATTATAGGCATAAGCAATTAAAAGAATATTATTTTTGGGAAAATATGTTTGACGAGCGAGTTGACAGTAACTGTTTTTTGACTTTGGTACTATATAATTCTTTAGATTATTGTGGACTCCACCTTGGACTGGTTTTATACATATGTTAAGAAAGAAAACCTAAAAAGTAAGCCCCACCCACCCGCCCGAATCTCAATTATGATGAATTTTTCATTCGTTGTCAGACCGAGGGGCGGAGCTTAATTGTAAAATCGATGTTTCCCGACAAAAATTTATGATTTTAAACATTTGTTACCTAAATAAAGAAAAAGGGCAAAATTGAATACATAATTACAAACATTTTCAAATTCACTTTTTTTAGACAATAACATTTTTTTTAATTAATAATTTAGCTTCTCAGGGACACTAACGAGTAATTTTTAGTAACAATTGAACGTGCTCGCTGCGCTCGCATTCTTGTATGGATTTTGCAATTATGCTCCGCCCCTCGGTTTGGCAACGAATGAAAAATTAATCACAATTGAGACAGGGTGGGTGGGCGGGGCTTATATTTTGCCTCTGTTTTTCTAAATATAGTTAGTCTTGTTTTCATAAGAAGAAACTTAAAATTTGTTTAAAATAGTAAAAAAGGCAAATTAAGACTAAAAAGCGACAAAAGAGCAACAAAAAAAAAGCGACGAGACAAAAGTCAACAACATTTTAGCAAAGAAAAGAAAAACGATAAAAAAGAGGATAAAAAAGGCGAGGAAAAAAAACAAAATAAAATACAAACAAATTAACAGAAAGATCGACAAAAAAGCACCAAGAAAATAGCAACAAAAATAAGGCAAAAAAGCGCCACAAAGTAGACAAAAAATTTACAAAAAAAAAAATCAAAAATACAAGATTTTCACCAGAAATTGTATTTCTTGTTTGTTTTAGTTATCTTTATCTTGATTTTTATTTACTTTCAAGATAACGGGTTCAGTCCGTGTTGTGGCGGCATTTTTGGCGTTGACCCTTTCCGCCGGCCCCGACGAGCCGCCCCTGGGGCGGCGCAAAAATCGAAATTATGAGGAAACCGTCTCGTCCGAAGAAAAAGTGACTCATTTTACGCGAAATGAGCAAAGTTCACACTTATAAAGCGATTCCTTCTCCCGATTATGTCATTATCTCGAAACTCGAGATATTTTGTTAACAATCGTATCACCGCAGTATAAATATAAACATTACGCGTCGTTATCAACAATGTCGCGATAACACGGTGTTATTTTCGTTTGTCTGTTCATTGTTGTGCTCTTTTCGAAAAAGAAAAGTTGGTCGGAATTCCCGCCTAAATTCAAAAAAGTACATTCCAATGTCGCCTACTATTTTTAAACAGAAGAAACATGGCGGCTTCTAGACACTTCGGGCTATTTAAAATGTTGTTAAAACTTACTTTCCAGTGATAATAATAATGTGAATGCCACTTAAGAAATAAAGAAAAGTAGCCGGAAGTGTGAAAAAGTGATTTTTGTAATATTGTAGTTGTGTTAGAGAGTGCGGCGACTGATCTCTGAAATTCTCGTCTACTGGGTGTTTCACGAAAATAAGGCGGGTAAGGACGATTGCACATCGCACTCCTTAATTGTACCCTCATTCCTGTGTAAATTGCGTCTGTTGACACTTATTATGTCAAAAGTCTATATTTAGGTTAGGGGACATTTTGTTGTTCATTGTGCCTTTTAACTCGGGCCGAGATTTTCACAGTGCATTTATGCAAATGGACTGTCGTGAGTCATTTGTGCGCTTTTTTAATGAATTTATTTTAATTCGAAATTCCATCTGCTATGAGTGTACGTCCAGAGCACGCCCACATGGGTACATTCGCGGCAACAACACGTGGGCTCATGTGGGTTTTTTGACTTTTCTTCGGCAATGAGATAACGAATTGTTCGTCGGAAAAATCGGCCGCCACCGAGGGTCGCTTTTCCGCCAGAGTCCGCTGGCCAATCGCGATTGTCGCAAACTACTCAACTTAAGTAAGTACGTATGGATAATTCGGGAAAACGAAAGTAATTTCCCGGCGGAAATTTATGGCCGCCGGCTACGTACAAGCAGAGTTACTATTTATATAGGCGAATTAAGCGCGTTGTAAAATCGTAGTATTACCAATAAATAAATGAGCGTTATCGGAAAGCGAGGAGTTGCTTCACGTCAGTGCACCTCGAGTTATTTAGTTAAAGGTAGACAAGGATAAGTTAAATTTGTTGAATAAAAATAACCGAGTAAACTATTCAAACCTACCATCCGATGCTCTCAAAATAGATGTCCCGTCTTGAGTTGTGCGCTCTTATCCTTCTCTGCCACGTCCTGAAACCTGTTTCGCCTTTCAATTTTTCATCTTCGATTGATTTCTATTACAGCAAAATGGTGGTCGGGGACCCGAGCATAAATAATATAATGAGCGGCATAGAAAATGCCGCCGGAGTCAAACAGCACAATCATAAAAAGAAGCTGAAGCAAAGGTGAGTAATGGAGCGATTTCACGCCGTCTTGCTCTCTAATCGCATTCCGCGAAACCGACAATCGCCGTTGTACTCCTGATTGACAGAAATTACGATGTTTTTGGCGATTTGGCACGGAAATCGCTATTGGCCAACCTCCAATTTTTAATAGCAGTTAATAAACATTGCCACTTTCTATATTTTGCAGTATTAAAGTTGGCCGCTGACTTTAATATCCCCTTTTAAAATCCCAAGAAAAAAGCATGCTCGACATCCCATGAAAACGCCGGCCCGTCGAGCGGAAAAGCCGCGCCAAAAACACCCATCCCAGCCACCCGGTAACTCGATAAAGGTCAATCAGAGTTTGCATCCAACAAAATTCTATTTCTTGAATGGAACTTTTATACCGAAAAACTTACACCTAACTTAAAATTTAAACTTAAGTCAAAGTGCCAAATAATATATCAAACTTTCTGAATAATTTTAGAACCACAGAACGTTAAATCAAATTTGTTCATCCCCCAAAAAGTTGATGACGCCATCTCAAAATTTAATTCAACAAGCGACATTCTCAGAAAACTTTGTACAGTTCCAAATTCTGCGAACAAATGATTAATGTTACATTTACGCATCAAAATTAATGTATGCATCCCCACCAACATCTTGATGACATCATCCAAAAATTTATTAAAATAGCCTACGCAAAAGTCGCATTTGTAATAATGTTTTAAAATGTTACGATAACAAAATCATTTGTATGAGGTGTTGTTGAAAAATCTATATACCTGTGTCTGAAAAAAATTATAAAAAAATTCTTATCGTATAGATTACGAAATAATCGTAATTTTATAAAATTGGCAACACTGCACGCACTTATAGCGTGAATAACTCCGGCTAATTTTTTTTAAGACAATCATAACAACTAGTAGTCATTAATCGTTATTATTAATAAAACAAGCTGCTATTTTTCATTAATAAATTAACCAAAAAAATAATAATAAGACATTTATAAATTATAAACAAAAACAAACCCAACAAATGAAAAATCCATCAAAGCAAAACCAACTAAACACTAGAGAAGATGTTCAAAATTCCCGCCTTGTGCATATAAGTAAGCACAAAGTTTCCAAATTTTGCTCATTTTTTGTAAAATTTAGTCATCATTGCCAAGATAGAACTGATTTTGGCAATGACATACCCTCTAAGAAAAGAAAGGGTGGGTGGGCGGAGATAGTAGCTGCGAAGATAAGACTGATTTTGGCAAATGACATACCCTCAAAGAAAATCAAGGGTAGAGGCAAAATCAGTCTTATCTTGGCAAATATTGGCCCCACCGACCCACCCACCCTTTATTTTCTTCGAGGGCAAATACCTGCCAAGATAAGAGTGATTTTAGCAAATGAGATAAACTGTAAGAGAAGAGCGGGTGGGTGGGCGGGGCTAATACCTACTATGATAAAACTGATTTTGGCACATGACATACCCTCTAAGAAAATCAAGGGTCAGTTAAAGCGTTATCCACCAGTTAGTGGCAACATAACCTAACAAATCCAAATAAATCTGTTATGAATTTAACAATATTTTGATGAGGACTTATGTTGTGCAACAAATTGACAGAGAAAAGATGATAAAAACACTTATTATTAGCTGATTATTTTCCAGCTCTAATGTAGGTACCAAAAATTAAAAACTTATCTAATAATACCGCGAGATCGAAAAAGAAATTAATCGAAGTGGGCCATGCACGACAAGCCGTTTGTCGTAATCACGGTGGTAGGGTAATTTAATTTTTTTTATTCAATGTCAAACTGACAGTTTAAAATTAGAATTATGACGCCTACTTTTTTTTAAAACACATAAGAATGAATTAAAGTCACCGTTTTCCAATTTTGTCTAAAATTTATCCCATTTCTAAAGATTCTAATAACAAAAAAGCTTTAATTTCGTTTGATAACAGTGCAAATTACTTTTGTCAACGTGACGATTAATAAAAAAATATTTTAAACTAAGACAACCGCCTTTTCGTGTATGGCCAACTTTGACTAATTTCTTTTTCGATCTCTCTGTATTTATTTATAGGTGTACCTACTTGTTTCATTTTTAATTTCCAATACTTTTTTTCTAACGCTAAATTTTGCTTTTCATGATTGATCACGTGAAACGCGATATACAATCGTTGAATACCGAATGCGGATCGAATCTGATGGAACTTTCAAGGTCGGGGAGTTTTGAACTGACCAATCACAACTCATTCCCAGTGGGGTGAGCATTACCAACTTAAGAGAGTAACAGCTAAACTTCGAGCTACGAAACTGGAACAAACATCGTGCATTGATAAACACTTTACCTCCGTTAACTGCTAGTTACCCTTATCTGACAGTTACTCAACAGACACTTTTAACTGAGCATTGATAAACCGGCCCTTAGCTTGGCAAATATTGGCTCCGCCCACCTACCCTTTATTTTCCTCGAGGACTAGTACCTGCCAAGATAAAGTGATTTTGGCAAATGAGATAAACTGTAAGAGAAGAGAGGGCGGGTGGGCGGGGCTAATACCTGCTAAGATAAAACTGATTTTGGCACATGACATACCCTCTAAGAAAATCAAGGTTAGAGGCAAAATCAGTCTTGTCTTGGCAAATATTGGCCCCACCCACCCACCCTTTATTTTCTTCGAGGGCAAATACCTGCCAAGATAAGAGTGATTTTAGCAAATGAGATAAACTGTAAGAGAAGAGAGGGCGGGTGGGCGGGGCTAATACCTACTATGATAAAACTGATTTTGGCAAATCACATACCCTCTAAAAAAATCAAGGTTAGAGGGAAAATCAGTCTTATCTTGGCAAATATTGGCCCCGCCCACCCACCCTTTGTTTTCCTCGAGGACTAGTACCTGCCAAGATAAGAGTGATTTTGGCAAATGAGAACCTCTAAGAGAAGAGAGGGCGGGTGGGCGGGGCTAATACCTGCTATGATAAAACTGGTTTTGGCACATGACATACCCTCTAAGAAAAGAAAGGGTAGAGGCAAAATCAGTCTTATCTTGACAAATATTGGCCCCGCCCACCCACCCGTTATTTTCCTCAAGGACTAGTACCTGCCAAGATAAGAGTGATTTTGGCAAATGAGATAAACTGTAAGAGAAGAGAGGGCGGGTGGGCGGGGCTAATACCTGCTAAAATAAAACTGATTTTGGCACATGACATACCCTCTAAGAAAATCAAGGTTATAGGCAAAATCAGTCTTGTCTTGGCAAATATTGGCCCCACCCACCCATCCTTTATTTTCTTCGAGGGCAAATACCTGCCAAGATAAGAGTGATTTTAGCAAATGTGATAAACTGTAAGAGAAGAGAAGGTGGGTGGGCGGGGCTAATACCTACTATGATAAAACTGATTTTGGCACATGACATACCCTCTAAGAAAATCAAGATTAGAGGCAAAATCAGTCTTGTCTTGGCAAATATTGGCCCCGCCCACCCACCCTTTGTTTTCCTCGAGGACTAGTATCTGCCAAGATAAGACTAATTTTGGCAAATGAGATAAACTGTAAGAGAAGAGAGGGCGGGTGGGCGGGGCTAATACCTGCTATGATAAAACTGGTTTTGGCACATGACATACCCTCTAAGAAAAGAAAGGGTAGAGGCAAAATCAGTCTTATCTTAACAAATATTGGCCCCGCCCACCCACCCTTTATTTTCCTCGAGGACTAGTACCTGCCAAGATAAGAGTGATTTTGGCAAATGAGATAAACTGTAAGCGAAGAGAGGGCGGGTGGGCGGGGCTAATACCTGCTAAAATAAAACTGATTTTGGCACATGACATACCCTCTAGGAAAATCAAGGGTAGGGGCAAAATCAGTCATATCTTGACAAATATTGGCCCCGCCCACCCACCCTTTGTTTTCCTCGAGGACTAGTACCTGCCAAGATAAGAGTGATTTTGGCAAATGAGATAAACTGTAAGAGAAGAGAGGGCGGGTGGGCGGGGCTAATACCTGCTATGATAAAACTGATTTTGGCACATGACATACCCTCTAAGAAAATCAAGGGTAGAGGCAAAAGCAGTCTTATCTTGGCTTAGATGTTTCGATTTTAAATTTTCCAATTTTTCGATTTTTGATGTACCTATTTCCTGATTTTTGAATTTTTCAATTCATCAATTTTTGGATAGCTTAAAACATTCAAAATGGTACATTTTTGTAGGGAAATAGAGATTTTGCAGTTACGCCCCGCACCTTGGTTTAACAACAAATGAAAAATTACCCACTCTCAATTGTGATGAATTTTTTATTCATTGTGAGCCGAGGGGCGGAGCTTAGTTGCAAATTCCTCATTTCTCTACAACAAATTACCATGTGTAATATGTTTTTAAAAGGTAAAAGTTTTTAGAGAAGTATGAAACTTGCTATTAAACTCCGCCCCTCGTTCTAATTACAAATCAAGAACTCATCACATTTGAGATCGGGGCGGGTTTTTTCATATATAGTTTTCTTTCAACAGGATTTTTTTAGTTTTCAATTTTCTGAATTTTTAATTTTTTGATGTTTCGATTTCTGGATCTTTCGATTTTTAAAATTTTTAATTTTTAGATTTTTCAATTTTTCGGTTTTTAAGTTTTTCGACGTTTGAGATATTCGATTCTCCAATTTTTCTATTTCTCGATGTTTCAAATTTCAGATTTTTTCGATTTTTTTAATTTAAAATTTTTTAATTTATCAATTTTTAATTTTTCGATTTTGGACAACTTTGATTTCCCCATTTTTCGACTTCCCGAATTTTCAACTTCTGGATAAATATCTCGATCTTGGCGTATTTCGATTTCTTGATGTTTCAATCCTTTAATTTTTCAATGTTTCAATTTTTCCATTCTTCCGTTTTCGATTTTTCGTCTTTCGATTTTGCCATTTTTCTGTTTCCATTTTTCAATTTTTCGATTTCTCAATTTTTTGCCATTTCAACTTTGGGATTTTTCATCAATTTTTAGATATATTATTTTTTCGATTTCTCAGTTTCTTACAACAGTAATTACATTTTGCTGTTTATTTTTAATATACCTAGTCTTCTTTTCACAACAAGAAGCGTAAAACATATTCAAAATGGGACATTTTTGTAGGGAAATTAGAGATTTTGCAGTTACACTCCGCCCCTTGGTCCAACAACCAATGAAAAATTTGTCACAATTGAACTAGGGTGGGTGGGTGGGGCTTATATTTTGCCCATTTTTCTCAATATACGTAGTCTTCTTTTAACAACAAGAAACTTAAGGAGTGTACAAAATGGCAAATTTCTCATAACTGAGATTGGGATGGGTGGGTCCTGTTTAATCTTTTTTTTTTCTTAAGATATAGAGTTTTCTTTCAACAACACGATAGTTAAAAAGTATTGGCCCCGCCCACCCACCCTTTATTTTCTTCGAAGATATGCCATTTGGCAGTATCAGTTTTATCTTAGCAAGTACTAGCCCCGCCCACCCGCCCTTTATTTTCTTAGAGGGCTAGTACCTACTAAGATAAGACTGATTTTGGCTAATGAGATTCCTCTAAGAAAAATAGAGGGTGGGTGGGTGGGGTTAGTGCTTGCTAAGATAAAACTGATTTTGGCAAATGACATATCCTCAAAGAAAAGGAACCAATTTTAAAATCATTATAACTCCACCAAAATGTGAAAAAGGAATGTTTATACTATTTTCCCAGACTCACCAGTTGATTGTTAACAGCGTAACGCCATTTTCCAGATACTCGGTATAGTATTAGGAACATTAAAATTTGCTCTACCGTTAAAGAACGAATAGTGGTCCTATTAACGATTTTATACAAATAAACAAATGCATAAAACCCGTCTGCGTTTTAAATTCATTTAAAGCACTTATGTGAACAACCTTGAAATGTTTTATCCATTTTCGTGCGACATAGAACAAACAAATTTGCACATTTTCTAAAGAATTAATGTGAACAGCATACAAAATTCCACGCTATACAACAATAGTTAAATTTACTCATAATAAACAAACTGTGTTTTGTTTGACATCATGCGTTTTTATCGTTGATAAAAATTTTAAATAATGTAGATCCGAGATTTGAGCCCTCAATTACTCCAGTTACAAGTAACGTGATGTTTTTCGTGTAATCGACTAAAAATTGCGTGCCCCACTTCGCTCGTTTCAACTCATAAAAAAATCGCAAGGAACCGAGCTCCCATGTCCCGGGTACCACTTGCACATTAAACCATAAATGTCACACTGTTTCCGTTTAAGAATAAAAAATGAACCGCTTGTACCGAGTTTGTACACCGACATCGATTTCTTCTTGGCAAGGACAATTGTAAAAGCGGATTTATTCAGAGTGGATTTTGAGTCCCGTTGGAAATCGCGCAACATCAAAGCTGTTTTCTTTTTATTTGGCCGCGATTTTGACATGCCTTAGCCATGTTTTCATTCACTTGAAAAGTATTACCAGGAAACTTAAGCATAATGTAAAAATAAGTGCATCGGTGTGGGTGGGAAAGTGATTTGTGGTACAACAATGCTCCACTTTTTACTTGATTGTTATTTTTGTCGTGGATGGTTCTCTTATTTTGCGTTATTCATCCGATGATTGCAGTAATCGCGTGACAACGCGTTTTGCAAGAGTTATTAATAGGAAACTATTGCTGCAATAAATTATATTAACACTATTATTAACAGCTGTTACGGTCTTACAACAGCTAAATGTATCGTCGATTTTTTAATAAAGCGGTGTTGCCAAGTCAAAAAGTGTGATTTTATCGGATAAAAAACACCCAGTCATGTACATCGAACAAATAAAACTTTCAACTGATTAGATTCTAACCCGCACCGAAAATTCGTTCGGTTTATTTTTGCAAAACTTAAACAAATGACAACCTTGACTCTTCGGCAATCTAAAAATTAAAACGAAACTTTACCCGTCAAACTTACGAAGTTCAATGTGCCAACTTTTTTTTATAAATACCAGATACGTTACACATTTCAACATCAATGTTTAATTTTCTTCACGAAAACATAACATTCTTTTTTAATCGAAAAAAATTGCGCGTTATTTTCTGGGCGAGCATTTTCCTTTCGTGGAAAAATTTCGCCATATGTTGGTCCTTATTCGTGCGTTTATTTAATTTTTATTGTATTTTTAAGGTTCGATATTATAAAGAAACTGGGTCAAGGCACGTTCGGTAAAGTGCAATTAGGTATTAACAAAGAGACTGGCCAAGAAGTGGCAATAAAAACAATCAAAAAATCCAAAATAGAATCCGAGGCTGATTTGGTTAGGATAAGACGCGAAATCCAAATTATGTCCTCGGTGCAACACCCGAATATCATTCACATTTATGAAGGTAATTAGTTTTAAAAATATTGGAGACGTTGTAATGCTGCTTTAGTGTTCGAAAATAGGGAAAAAATGGTGCTAGTTATGGAATACGCAGCCGGGGGCGAGCTATACGACTATTTATCGGAAAGAAAAATTTTAAGCGAGGACGAAGCTCGGAGGATATTCAGACAAATCGCCACCGCTTGCTACTACTGTCACAAACACAAAATCTGCCACCGGGACCTGAAACTAGAAAACATCCTCTTGGACGAAAATAATAACGCCAAGGTGGACCCGTTTTTTTCTAAAACCAAAATATAATAGTCCGTTTTAGATCGCCGATTTCGGACTCTCAAACGTTTTCGACGACCAACGCCTTTTGAGCACTTTTTGTGGTTCCCCGTTGTACGCTTCGCCGGAAATTGTCAAAGGAACGCCCTACCACGGACCGGAAGTCGATTGCTGGTCCCTCGGAGTCCTCCTATACACTCTAGTCTACGGTGCCATGCCCTTCGATGGCGGAAATTTTAAACGTTTAGTTAAGCAAATTTCGCAAGGAGATTACTTTGAACCCGCTAAACCCAGTCGTAAGTAAATCGTACGATTTGCTGAGCAACGAAACTGAAGAGTACGTGGTTGCGTTTCAGCTGCATCCCCTCTCATCCGAGATATGTTGACCGTCAATCCCAAAAAGCGCGCCAACATAGAAAAAATATGCACGCATTGGTGGGTCAACGAAAATTATGACGTCAGTTGCCTGGAGATCTCAGAAGAATTAGCCAATCAGACGCCCGTTAGGCTAGATTTGTTGTTGTCTTTGGCGCCGCCCCCACCACAACTAGAAAGTGATAAACTATTAGTTACAGGAGATGTAAGTTTGTTGTTGTTGTTGTTTGACGACTAAGTTGATTTTTTAAGGTTTCTGAAGAAATAAAGACTGAAGTTGCACCTCCTACAAGGTCGCAGTCTGTAGGTAGTTTAATGGAACTTTCACACCCGGCTGAACGAAGAATTAAGGAGCTTCTGACTGAAGAAAAAGCCACTCCTAAGCGTAAATTAGAAAGTACTGTGAGTACGGATCGTGTTAAGGATGGTCTCAAGAGAAAAGATAAAATTATTAAAGAAAACACGGTAGCTGATATTACCGTTCATGGTGCTATTCAAGAAAATGTCTCTTTGGAAGATGCCAGTATGTCTGAAGCTATACCGCTAGATAAGAGTCTAACTCAAACGATATCACGCGAGATGGACGTAGAACCAAACGAAGAACCCGCTGTCGATCCGTCGTTACAAGGAGCTGCCTGTACAGAAATAATCGAAGAAGCGAAGAAAACAGAAACGAAGAAACCCAACAAAGTAAAAAAGACTCTATCTACAAGTGTTAGCAATAAAGTATTAGAAGGCATTAACGAGATTCCTAGTCAAGAGAACGTATCCAACAACGTAGATAAAGAAAACGTCCAAGAAGTTGCTCAACCACAAGACAAACAACCTGAGACCAAAATCGCAACGAAAAAGAAGACTGTGAAGAAGAAAGTCCTCGTCGACAAGAACGAAACAGTAAAACCGAAAGAAAAACCAACAGAACCACCCCCCGAAGAAATCAAAAAGGAAGAAAAACCCGAAGAAAAGAAAAACGAAACCGAAAAATCGGAAGACCCGCCCGCCAAGCCCGTCGAAAGGAGAAAATCGCGCATCTTCGAAGCCGCCGAAAAGTTCCAAAACATGATCTCCCCCACCGAAACTAAACCCATTAACATCGAAAAACCAAAGAAGATCGTCATCCCGGGTGTGAGCGTCGGAGGATTCAAGAAAGAATTCGAACGAAAAGCCAGCCTCACTTCCACGTCGCCGCCCAAAGTCAAATCAGCCCCCTCCAAGAAAGTCCTGATCGATCAAAAACCGGAGCCCGAGCCCCAGCAGCCCGAGAAAGACGAACCTAAACCCGACGAGCCTGTGGTCGACGACGAGCGCCAGGAGCGCGTGAGGAACGCCGTCAGCATAATCTCAAGTGCCTTAGATAAAGAAGGAGCGCGAAAATCAAAATCGCGGCCGTGCTGCGTCCGCAAGCCGCCGGTGCCGTTCGGGGTGAGCGGGCGCTCGGCCTCCGGGAACATCGGGTTAGTGACGACGCAGCCGCTGGGTCCCAAACCCTTCGTCAAGCCGCAGTTCGACGCCAAGCCGGAAGCCAAGAAGGTGGAGGAGACGCCCGAGCCCGTGGAGGAGAACAAGACGTCGTCGGCGGAGATCACGCTCAAGTCGGCCACGCTGCCGCGGAGGAAGACCACGAAGGCGGAGATACAGCTGAACTACCCGGTGCCCAAGCCGGCCACTATGGAGTTTAAGACTGAGATGGCTCACAACGTCGCGGCGGCGCCTAAGGTGCCCACGCAGCGGAGCGAGGTCGTAGTGCCCGTGGCGGCGCCGCAGATGCTCAACTTCAGGTAACTTAGGTTAAAAGATAAATTTGATGATAAGTTGCTTCGGTTTAGGGCGTCTTCGTTGGAACCCGAACAACTGTCAAAGGGCTCGCCCAAAGAGCGGATTATCCCGATCGCCTTCGAGCCACCGGACGCAACGAGGGAAGGTTTGCAGTCCCCACCCACTAAACCGCCAATGCCGAGACCCTTCCAAACGCAAAAGTCAACACAGTCCCAAAGGTAACTTCTAATCCGTCTAATCCAACTTTTAACTGAATCTTTTTCTTTGCTGCATGCCTAGATTTAGGTGAACACATTTATATGATCACTAGGTAAAGTAGAACACACTACACTTCAATTTAAGTCAGATTTGCTTAAGTCAAACTCGGTTTGTACTACAGGTCGGGCAGCCTGTCGAGACAATCCACTCAAGACTCCGACACTGAAACCACCTCTGGCGAACCTATTAAAAAATCGCCGAGGGAGTACATCATCCCTATCGCCGTGGAAGGGGGTGGTTACGTCACTCCGAGAGCCGGCAGCGTCGAGCCTAGCGAAACCGCAAGTACAACGAGCACCATGACGAGTCGAAGTAGGAATAAGTTTGGCAAAGCTAGGAGACTGAAGTAACGAAATAACATACTCGTGCATTTGTGGTTTATGAATCCGTTCTTTTAGTTCTTTACTCAGCGATCGGGATTCGGAAGACGAATCGCCTTTCCCCAACCTATACCGTCACAGTTCCTTCGGCAAAGACAGCGACACGGAAGACTCCAGGAAAGACGCGTTCCACCTCCACAGGTTGAGGAGTACGCGTCCGAAGAGGTCGCTTCTGGAGCACACCGACTCTCTCAGCTCTGGGGAGGAAGACGACGACGACGGGTTCGAGATTTTGACCGCGGAGCATTTGTTCTCGAATTTGTTGTCCCGGGTGAGTTTGTCGAGAGTGAGTTTTTTTGTTAAGGGTGAGTTGCAGGTGCGCGATTTGACGCAAAAGCTGAACGTCGAGGATGGTGGTAGGCCCGGGTTTCCGGCTAGTCGTTTATTGAGCCATTTTGACCACGGGACGAATTTCTGGAATTTCCACAATAGGTTGGACCCTCTGACCAATCCGTTGTCCAGGTAGGTCGGTGAATAACTTAGTGATGTAAATAACAGTTTTGAAATCTACAAGCTCTCAATATAAAGTTACTTATGTCAGGGAAACAAGAACTTATAAGTAAGTTCCATGTTGGATGGGTTGGAGATTTTTCACGACGTTGGCAGTAGTTTGTTGCATTTACCCCTAGTAGTTCGATATTGGTACGGGTCGGATTATATGCACTTACTTTGTTTCATGTGGTCAGTTAAAAAAAATGCATAAAATCTGATTCTGTCAGTAATTAAGTGATTGTTTCGAAACGTTGCACAATCTCTTTCTTTCTCAGTAGTACTAGTAGTCCAATGTTTGATGCACTTTGTAATTTTATCTGGTAGTTCCGATAGAATGTATGAGTAAATAATGAACGGTCTGCCTGACCTACCTGGGAGCACATAAAAACAGCCTACGTTCTAGAAGTTCCCATTCTCACTTTACAAAAAACATATAAGTCACCCCGCCCACCCACCCCACCTCCATTTCAGTGATTCATTTTATCTAGTGCGAATGAAAGGTGGATCTTAATTGAAGAGAGATAAAATCGATTGAAGTTTTTAAATTTCTTATATAGGGTGACTCAAAAAATTAATGAATGAGTCAATTTATCTGTTCGATTAAATCAGGAACGACTCCCGAAAATCTAATAACCTTGTCTAATCATCTCCACCAAACTCAATGTTGAATGTATTCTTTGAACAACGCGATGCTCAAAAACATCTTTTACATAATTTCTTGTAGAGAAATACAGATTTTAAGCTCCACCCTCTTGGCTAAGAATGCATAAAGAAAGTCATCACAATAGCGATGGGGTGGGTGGGCGGGGCTTATGTTCTGTTTTTGTTTTTTCTTCTTATATATTGCTTTTTTCTCCATAACAAGAAACTGAAAACATGTTTAAAATGGTAAATTTTATCCCATACACTTCTCTACAAATTTAACCTCTTGGCTCACGATGAATAAAGAAAGTGTCACAATAAAGATAGGGTGGGTGGGCGGGTCTTCTGTTTTGACTTTTTTTTAATATTTCGTAGTCTTCTTTTCGCAACAAGAAACTTAAAACGTGTTTAAAACAGGAAATATAGATTTTGTAATTACGCTCCGCCCCTCAGTCTGACAACGAATGGAAAATTCATCAGGATTGAGATCGAGACGGATGGGTGGGGCTTATTATTTTTCTTTTCTTACTTAATACAAATTTTCCATTTTAAACATGTTTTAAGTTTCATGTTACGAAAAAAAGTCTACATATCTTTTAAAACAAAAAGGCAAATTTAAGCCCGCCCACCCGCCCTGTCTCAAATGTGATGATCTTTTTTATTCACTGTTAAGCAAGGGGGCGGAGCTTAACTGCAAAATACTTATTTCTTTACAAGAAATTAAAAACATGTTTTTGAGTATCGGGTTCAAAGAATACTATGTATATTAAGAAAAAATGCCGAAATATTAACCCCGCCCGCCCACCAGATCTCAATTGTGATGATTTTTTTATTCTTAGAAAGTTAAAACACGTTTAAAATGATACATTTTTGTGAGGAAATATGGATTCTGTAATTACGCTCCGCCTCTCAGTCCGACAATGAATGAAAAATTCATCACGATTGATATATTTTTTTTTACTTAATACATAGAATTTTTTCCGAGCAACACCATTACTGAAAAAAACGGATTTTGCAATTAAGCTCCGCCCCCTTTGACTAACAACGAACAAAGAAAAAGCGTCACAATTGAGATAGGGTGGGTTGGTGGGGCGTATGTTTTGTTTTTGTTTTATCTTCTCATATTTTGTTTTGTTTCCATAACAAGAAACTGAAAACATGTTTAAAATGGTAAATTTTATCCCATACACTTCTCTATAAATTTAACTAACCTCTTGGCTCACGATGAATAAAGAAAGTCGTCACAATTGAGATAGGGTGGGTGGGTGGGTGGGCGGGCCTTATATTTTGACTTTTTTTCTTAATGCTAGTAGTCTTCTTTTCCCAACAACAAACTTAAAACGTGTTTAAAACAGGAAATATAGATTTTGTAATTACGCTCCGCCCCTCAGTCTGACAACGAATGGAAAATTCATCACGATTGAGATCGAGACGGATGGGTGGGGCTTATTATTTTTCTTTTTTTACTTAATACAAATTTTCCCTTTTAAACATGTTTTAAGTTTTATGTTATGAAAAAAAGTCTACATATATATTAAAACAAAAAGGCAAATTTAAGCCTGCCCACCCGCCCTATCTCAATTGTGATGATTTTTTTATTCACTGTTAAGCAAGGGGGCGGAGCTTAACTGCAAAATACTTATTTCTTTACAAGAAATTAAAAACATGTTGTTGAGTATCGGGTTCAAAGAATGCTACGTATATTAAGAAAAAAAGCCAAAATATTAAAATTTTAGTGGGGAAATATGGATTCTGTAATTACGCCCCGCCCCTCAGTCCGACAATGAATGAAAAATTCATTCATCACGATTGAGATCCAGACGGATGGGTGGGGCTTATATTTGTTTTTTTTTTCTTTTTTTTTATTTAATACTTTACTTACATGTTTCACATGGTAATTCTTGTAGAAAAATACGAATTTTGCAATTAAGCTCCGCCCCCTTTGACTAACGACGAACAAAGAAAAAGCGTCACAATTGAGATAGGGTGGGTGGGTGGGGCTTATGTTTTGTTTTTGTTTTTTCTTCTTATATATTGTTTTTTCTCCATAACAACAAACTGGAAACATGTTTAAAATGGTGGATTTTATCCCATAAACTTCTCTACAAATTTAACATCTTGGCTCACGATGAATAAAGAAAATCGTCACAATTGAGATAGGGTGGGTGGGCGGGCCTTCTATTTTGACTTTTTTTCTTAATATTTCGTAGTCTTCTTTTCGCAACAACAAACTTAAAACGTGTTTAAAACAGGAAATATAGATTTTGTAATTACGCCCCGCCCCTCAGTCTGACAACGAATGGAAAATTCATCACCATTGAGATCGAGACGGATGGGTGGGGCTTATTATTTTTCTTTTTTTATTTAATACAAATTTTCCATTTTAAACATGTTTTAAGTTTCATGTTATGAAAAAAAGTCTACATATATATTTAAACAAAAAGGCAAATTTAAACCCGCCCACCCGCCCTATCTCAATTGTGATGATTTTTTTTATTCACTGTTAAGCAAGGGGGCGGAGCTTAACTGCAAAATACTTATTTCTTTACAAGAAGTTAAAAACATGTTTTTGAGTATCGGGTTCAAAGAATACTATGTATATTAAGAAAAAATGCCGAAATATTAACCCCGCCCACCCACCCCATCTCAATTGTGATGATTTCTTAGAAACTTAAAACCCGTTTAAAATGATAAATTTTGGTGGGGAAATATGGATTCTGTAATTACGCCCCGCCCCTCAGTCCGACAAGAATGGAAAATTCATTCATCACTATTGAGATCCAGATGGATGGGGGGGCTTATGTTTGTTTTTTTTCTTTTTTTTATTTAATACTTTACTTACATGTTTCACATGGTAATTCTTGTAGAAAAATACGAATTTTGCAATTAAGCTCCGCCCCCTTTGACTAAGGACGAACAAAGCAAAAACGTCACAATTGAGATAGGGTGGGTGGGTGGGGCTTATGTTTTGCATTTTTTCTTCTTAATATATATTGTTTTTCCTCCGTAACAAGAAACTGAAAACATGTTTAAAATGGTAAATTTTATCCCATACACTTTTCTACAAATTTAACCTCTTGGCTCACGATGAATAAAGAAAGTCGTTACAATTAAGATAGGGTGGGTGGGCGGGGCTTCTATTTTGACTTTTTTTCTTAATATTTCATAGTCTTCTTTTCGCAACAAGAAACTTAAAACGTGTTTAAAATAGGAAATGTAGATTTTGTAATTACGCTACGCCCCTCAAGTCTGACAACGAATGGAAAATTCATCATGATTGAGATCGAGACGGATGGGTGGGGCTTATTATTTTTCTTTTTTTACTTAATACAAATTTTCCATTTTAAACATGTTTTAAGTTTCATGTTATGAAAAAAAGTCTACATATATATTAAAACAAAAAAGCAAATTTAAGCCCGCCCACCCGCCCTATCTCAATTGTGATGTTTTTTTTTATTCACTGTTAAGCAAGGGGGCGGAGCTTAACTGCAAAATACGTATTTCTTTACAAGAAATTAAAAACATGTTTTTGAGTATCGGGTTGTTAAAAAAATACTATGTGTATTAAGAAAAAAAGCCAAAATGAAAAATTAATTCATCACGATTGAGATCCAGACGGATGGGTGGGGCTTATATTTGTTTTTTTTTTCTTTTTTTATTTAATAGTTTACTTACATGTTTCACATGGTAATTCTTGTAGAAAAATACGAATTTTGCAATTAAGCTCCGCCCCCTTTGACTAAGGACGAACAAAGAAAAAGCGTCACAATTGAGATAGGGTGGGTGGGTGGTTGGGGCTTATGTTTTCATTTTTTCTTCTTCTTAATATATATTGTTTTTCCTCCGTAACAAGAAACTGAAAACATGTTTAAAATGGTAAATTTTATCCCATACATTTTTCTACAAATTTACCCTTTTAAACATATTTTCAGTTTTTTGTCGTGAAAACAAAAGTACGTGCATATATTAAGAAAAACAAAGGCAAAATACAAACCCCGCCCACCCACCCGCATTTCAATCGTGCTAAGGTTTTTATTCGTTGTGAGTCGAGGGCAGAGTTTATTGCAAAATGCTTATTTCTCTACAAGAAACTATTATGTGAAACATGTTTTTAAATGTTGTTAAAAGGAAACTATATATGTTAAGAAAAAGAATCCAAAAAATAAGCCCCACCCACCCGCCCGAATCTCAATTGTGATGAATTTTTCATACGTTGTCAGATCAAGGGGCGGAGCTTAAATGTAAAATCGATGTTACCGGACAAAAAATTACCATTTTAAACGTTTTAAATACAAATCTGGCACAATATACCCCAGTCACCCTGTATATTGTCGTGAAAAAATTGTTACGTATATTCAAAAAAAGGCAAAATTGCTGATATTACTCGTAATTCATATTGTAAATTGTGGAAAAATGGTGAAAATTTTCCAGAAAATTAAAACGAATCAAATTTTTCACAGTAGACATCCAGATTTTGAGAAAAAACTCAAAATTCTGCAATTTAATCAAAATTTATTCCAAAAATTGATATCATCTCAAAATTTTGTCTATCTAAATAATACAAAATATTATGACTATACTTTTGGTTTATTAATCCATTTATAATTTTTATAAGGGTGACTCAACTGGGCTACGGAGCTTCCTGATTTTTTTTTTGATTTTTTAATTGCTACCTACAGAAAAATGACATCGTTTGCTTTATCGGTGTCTCAAACCTCAAGGGTTGACTTATCTGGGTCAAAAAAATATCTGTCATTATCAGAAAACTCCAAGGAATCGAATGGTGCAAACAGAAACACGATATCTTGAACCATTTCGAAATGATAAATTCGTAAACTCCAAAAATATTGTTTGAGATGAGTTTTGAAACGAATTTTAATTGAAATAGAATTAATATTCAACAACTGATACCAGAAATGAATTCTGCACCGCAAAATTAGTCCAGAAACTCAATTTCAGGCAGATTGAAAGAGTCAGATTTTTAATACCAGGTAAAATTGCAAACTGCATGAAACATGTGCTCTCCGACTACAGTAGGTGGAGCGAGGTCAGCCACTAATTTTGCTTTTTTCAGGCATTCGTCGCTAGGGCGGAGCTTGAGTCGCGAGCGCGCCAATAACGACAGCTCCTCGTCGACGCCGTGGCGACGCAGCGTCAGCCGCGACCTCGCCTCCGACATCGAAAGCGTTTTCAAGGACACGAATTCGACGGCGCCGCGTCCCAGAGGTAAAATATTCTAAACTGGCCGTTTTTAAGTAGTTTTGTGTTGTGAAACGGATTTTTCAATGTTCTCTGTGGTAGAGACAAACATTTTTGTGCCCGTGTAGAGTAGGAGAAAGATTTTTGCATTTTCCCCTTCCTATTTTTTGTATTTTTTGTTTTAAAACTATGATTTTTGTTTTTGGTAATCCGTTAATATGTATTGTTAATTTTTTTTAAATAACTTTTTTTTAGTTATTATTATGTTATATTTGGCATATTTTGATGTATTGAGCACACTATGTCGTAAATGACTAATACGTCCTTGCAGTATTGTGTAAGACAGCCAATCACTAACAAAGTCGAGTTTAAATAAATACTTTTTTTTTTAATTATCCCTTTGAATATATTCGTAAGCAACGAAAAGGTAAGTTGGCAAGTCGTACTCTTGAATGAATAACTCGAATAACGCGAATTAACCCAAAATTGTCTAAATGACCAAATCGTGCTTTTTACCAAAGTCGGGCATGAAGTAACAATTTTACTCGATGCGCACAAATCACCACATCGTACACACAGACGAATTGGTATTAATTAATTAATAATAATAAATTAATACGCAGCAGTAGTCAATATATTCAGTATTTTGGAAGCGAGTGGCGTTGTTTTACATTCCGGATTAAAAAGCAAGTGCAAAATACTGAAAATATTCGCAAAGACATCGTGGTGGCGGTGTTTGCACAATACTGTAACTCAACCAGCATCAGACGTAGCATAACCAGTAGTTAGATTCGGAACCCCGAGGATGATACATCAGGATATGCCAGGGCAATGGGAAGCATGGCCATGACAGTGTTGTGGTTGCAGCGCGAGTGCGTGTGACGGTGCATGTGCCCTGCGGACCAGCCACACAGAAGGGCACCCACTAACTGCCTGGCTACCTGCTGCAACACAGACTCGGTAGGCTGCATGCACTAATTCATCCTTCACCACATTTCATCTTTCGATTGATTTAACGCCAGTCATCCACACATCACTAGTCATAAGTTATCACTTGAGTTTTTTCGGTCGGCGTCGCCCGGCGCGCCCCGCGCTCGGCGCCGCCGACGTGCGCGCGCAGGACAGTCACGATCCGGAGCATGCGCTAACGCAATTTTTCTTAGTTTCTTTTTTTCGACTAATTTTTTTGTTGGTGTTTTATTTCAAGCAGCCGCAGACGTTTTGTGCCAAAGTCACTAACTGTCGACGGTAGGTAGTTGTGATGTGTGATTAGCGCTTAACCAGGCAGAGCGAGCGAGACCTTGATTCCGATTCGTCGTTTCAGATAAAAAGTCGAAGAAAGAAAACCTTAATTTAGCAGATTTAGATCTAAAAAAGTTTAAATTGTCCGACGAGGACGCGTTAGCTTTGTCGTATCTCACGCCCGGCTTGTCGAGGAGGATACAAAAGCACTTGCTGTCGCAGCTGGCTCCGTCGGAAGTCCAAAAGCTGCATCGGACTCTGTCCTCGGGGGAGAGCCCCTACGAGAGGGACGACCACAAGTTCGCTCGCAGGTCAGTCGATCGCATTTCCTCGACGCTGCCTCGCCGGTACGAGAACGAGGGGTCCAAGTCGGGCTTGCCCGTCAAGCTACGCGACGAGCTGAGATCCACGAGTCTCGGCTACGACGCCGACTACGCCTACAAGAGACCCAAAGCTGCTCGCTCCGTGTCGCTACGAGAACCCAAAAACTACTCGTTCAAAGACAGGAGTCCGGACTCGAGTCTCTCCGAGAGCGTGTCGCGCAACGGACAAGACAGCTTCGACAGCTTCTCCTCGCTGTCGCGCCCCTCGTCCTACTCCAAGTACTCCGATTCCTCGACTTTAAGTAAATACCTAACACCAAACGGCAAGACTGAAATCAAAAAACCGTCCTCGTCGCCAAGGCGCATCTCGAGATTCCTAAGACCCGACTTCTTCGACACACCGAAAGAAGAAAGCGCTCTAGTCAAAGAAAAGAAAGAACGGGAGATGGAAACGCAAAAAGTGCTCAAAGAAATCAGAGACAAAAGAAAGACGCGATTGAACGCCCGAAGAGAACGATCGATGTCTAGAGAAAAAGAAAGATCCGTGTCGAGAGAAAAAAGCATCGAGAAGATCGAAGAAGAGAAAAAAGATCCGACCAAACTCACACCAAGCAGCGAAACAACTGATTCTTTGCTCAACAACGTCTCAAACAACATCAAAAATATCGAAAACAACGTCAAAACCTTGCACGACTACATCAACGTGACGGCGCAAACCGACAACAAAGAAGCGGAAGAAAGCAAGAAGGTGATCCACGATTACGTCAACGTGGTCAAGAAACCTGAAGATGCTCCGGTCGTGAAGAAAACACGAATCTCGAAACTAGTGCGTCCGAAGAGCTACCCAACCGAAAACACCGACAAAGAAAAAACAATCAAAGTATCTCCGGAGAAAGAATCAAAGATAAGTCGACTGCGCAAAGGTTTTACGCGTCAAGGTTCCAAAGAGCGCGACAAAACGAAAGAAGACAAAAACGAAACCAACAAAACCATCAACGAAGAAGAAAAAGGCCACAAGAACAAGCTGTTGCAATCTATCGAAAAAAAATTAGAGAAGTTTCGCTCTTCGTCATCGTCCGTGAAAGACTCGGATGATTCGAAGTCCAAAGAGAAGAAGTCGGGCGTGGAAAGTACCATCAAGCGCTTGCGCGAGCAAAGCTTACCCAGGAACATGGCACCCTGCACCGAGTCGGGTTTAATCAAGCGAGCCGTTTCCGTCGAAGACGTTTCGAACTTAACCTCGAACAAACCTCTCCAAGCGTCGAGGAAAAGCGTCACCAAAATCTTGAGTCTGTTCAAAAAGTACGAAGAACAAGACAAAAAGGGCGACAAAGTCGTCAAGAAAAAAAAGAAGAGTGCTGATGAAGCTGTGATCCAAAACAAAAGTACTGAAAATAGCGTCAATTCTAGTCAGGACGAGGCGAAAAAGAAGCCGGAACGTCCTCGTTCGTTGTTACTCGATAAGATGAAACAATTTCAAAGTGGTGCTAGTGTAGTGAGCGACAAAGAAACTAAAGGGAGCAAAGCGTCGAAACTGCCGGTGAATTCGTTCAGACGTAGCTTGAATCTAGACGTCGAAGTCCCGCAACCTGTTAAACCCCCGGAATTAAAATTGGATTTGAGTAAGCCGAGTCAGCAAGTCCCCGACGACAACCGCAACTCGATGACTACCGACGACAGTTCGGTTTTGTTGTCGCCCGACGAGAACGCCAGCGGCGACTCGTGGTCGGTGTGCTCGGACTACCACACCCAGGAGTTGCACTCGCCGGTGTCGCCGAACGGGTTCTCGTGCGACGTGGGCGACGAGAACGAGTCGGTCATCGACCGGATCAGGAGGAAGAGCTTCTACACGAGGTTCAACGAGAAGAAGCGGCCTCGGAAGCCGAGTTTGACCCGAAACTACAAAGATTTGGATCTTTACAAAGACCCGACTTACTCTAAGAATCCGTCTGAGTACGACCGCTACAAGACCCCTCTGACGCGTCGATCGACGTTTTCGTCGCAGGATCCGGTCAAGAGGGACTACAAGAACTACACTCGCAGTTCGTCGCTCTTGAACGACTACGTCAACGTGCCCCGCTATCAGACCTACAACGCTAAAGTGAGTCGGCCCACCACTTCGATTTATTCGGATTCTGAAGATACTACTTTGGATGAGTTGTTGACGGCTGCGAAATCCAGAAAGTAAGTTGTTGGGTGGTGCGGATGGTGTTTAATGGGTGTTTTTCAGATACAGTTCCCCCATTCAACCATCCACTTTAAGCCGAGGCTCAGTTTCTCCCGTTAACGAACAGTTTTACTTTCGACCTGCGTCTTCCGTTGCTTCCCCTACTTCATCAGAACCGGTTTAAATTTGATTCCTTCTATTTTTGTAACGTACGACACGCGGATGCTACCAGAAGCGACGAGTTGCTTTTGGCAGCATTCTTATATAGGTTTAAATCTTAATTAAATCTCATGTGATCACTAGTATACAAGTCAGACCTGAAACGTTGTTCATGTAGAGTTGTTGCATTAGTTAGTAGACTCATATCAAGTTTTTCTTCTGTTAAATTAAGGTTTCAAGACAAATCTAACAAAGTATTCTTCAGTCTTATTTATTTACATAGACTAAAGTGTAGATAAATAATGTATTATTAATATGTAAATGTTGTTTGCTTTTTTTATTTATTATAGGAATCCTAGTTTGTTTAGAGTTTTCTAGTGGTTATTTTCTATCATAATATTTATTTATTTATTAAAGGATGATATTATTTAACAAAAATTGGATTGAAAGTGTTATAAAAGTACTGTTTACTACTAAAAGTAGCAATTGTTCAAGTTTAAATGATTTTAATTATCAGTTGACTCTCAGTCTGCCACATTAAGTCAAGACAATGTGTAGCGTTATAATTTTAGGTTGAGTTTGTGTGAATTGTTAGAATTGTATGTTGAATTTGGTGATTTTATAAAAAATATACAACAAGTGAAACTTTCGCACCTTTTTTTTATCACACATGACACCCCCTAAATTTACAAGTGGACCCGTCCGAACGCTTTGCTGTCAACTGCGATTGGCCTTGACCGCTACAATCGAAAATTTTTGGCATTTTTAGAGCGTTCACAATGTTTAGTATCTCCAGAATCTCTAGAGCCTCTAAAATATCTAAAATCTGTAGAATTTCTAGAATGGCTGGAATCGCTAGACTTTAAAACTTGTACTTTTTTCTGGAATCTCTGTATATCTAGATCCAATGGAATCTCTAGAATCTTTAGAGAGTCTGTAAACTTAAGAATAGTTTTCAGAATATTTCGAATTTTTAGAGTCTCTAGGATATTTTAGAATCCCTAGAATCTTCAAAATCTCTACAATTGCTGGAACTACTAGAATCTAAAACTTTTGGATCTTTGAAATTTTTAGAGTACCCACAATCATTGGTTTCTCCAGAACCTCTAGAATCTCTAGAATCCTTCGAATTTTTCGAACCTGTAGAATCTCTAAAATCTATAGAATTTCTAGAATCTTTAGAATCTCTGCAATTGCTGGAACCAGTAGAACTAAAACTTTTGCAATCTTCGGGATTTTTAGAATTTTTACAACGAACTTTTAGGGTCTGTAGGATACTTAGAATCCCTAGATTCTTTAAAATCTCTACAACTGCTGGAACCGCTAGAATCGAAAATGTTTGAAATGTTTAGAATTTTTACAATTTTTGGAGTGTTCACAATGTTTAGTTTCTCCAGAATCTCTAGAACCTCTAGAATATTTAAAATCTGTAGAATTTCTAGAATGGCTGGAATCGCTAGACTTTAAAATTTGCACTTTTTTTCTGGAATGTCTAGATTCTGTATAATTTTTTGAATTACTAGAATCTTTGGCGTCTCTGGAATCTCTGTATATCTATGTCCAATGGAATCTCTAGAATCTTTAGAGAGTCTGGAAACTGAAGAATAATTTTCAGAATCTTCCGAATTTTTAGGGTCTCTAGGATATTTTAGAATCCCTACAATTTTCAAAATCTCTACAATTGCTGGAACCACTAAAATCTAAAACTTTTGGATCTTTGAAATTTTTAAAATTTTTACAATTTTTAGAGTGCCCATAATCTGTGCTTTCTCCAGAATCTCCAGAACCTCTAGAATCTCTACAATCCTTCGAATTTTTCGAACCTGTAGAATCTCTAAAATCTGTAGAATCCCTAGAATCTTTAAAATCTCTACAATTGCTGGAACCGCTAGAATCGAAAATTTTTGGAATCTTCAGGATTTTTAGAATTTTTACAATTTTTGAAGTGTTCACAATGTTTAGTATCTCCAGAATCTCTAGAGCCTCTAGAATATCTAAAATCTGTAGAATTTCTAGAATGGCTGGAATCGCTAGACTTTAAAACTTGTACTTTTTTTCTGGAATTTCTAGATTCTGTATAATTTTTTGAATTACTATAATCTTTGACATCTCTGGAATCTCTATATATCTAGGTCCAATGGAATCTCTAGAATCTTTAGAGAGTCTGTAAACTTAAGAATAATTTTCAGAATCTTTCGAATTTTTAGGGTCTCTAGGATATTTTAGAATCCCTAGAATCTTTTCAAAATCTCTACAATTGCTGCAACCACGAGAATCTAGAACTTTTGGAACTTTGAAATTTTTTAAATTTTTACAATTTTTTGAGTGCCCATAATCTTTGGTTTCTTCAGAATCTCCAGAACCTCTAGAATCTCTGAATCCTTCGTATTTTTCGCACCTGTAGAATCTCTAAAATCTGTAGAATTTCTAGAATCTTTAAAATCTCTGCAACTGCTGGAACCACTAGAACTAAAACTTTTAGAATCTTCGGGATTTTTAGAATTTTTACAACGAATTTTTAGGGTCTGTAGGATACTTAGAATCCCTAGAATCTTTAAAATCTCTACGATTGCTGGAACCGCTAGAGTCGAAATTTTTTGGAATTTTTAGAATTATTAGAGTGTTCATAATGTTTAGTTTCTCCAGAATCTCTAGAGCCTCTAGAATATCTAAAATCTGTAGAATTTCTAGAATGGCTAGAATCTTTAGAATCTCTGCAACTGCTGGAATCACTAGAACTAAAACTTTTGGAATCTTCGGGATTTTTAGAATTTTTACAACGAATTTTTAGGGTCTGTAGGATACTTAGAATCCCTAGAATCTTTAAAATCTCTACAATTGCTGGAACCGCTAGAGTTGAAATTTTTTGGAATTTTTAGAATTATTAGAGTGTTCACAATGTTTAGTTTCTCCAGAATCTCTAGAGCCTCTAGAATATCTAAAATCTGTAGAATTTCTAGAATGGCTGGAATCGCTAGACTTTAAAACTTGTACTTTTTTCTGGAATTTCTAGATTCTGTATAATTTTTTTAATTACTAGAATATTTGGAATCTCTGTATATCTAGATCCTTTGGAATCTCTAGAATCTTTTAGAGAGTCTGGAAATTTAAGAATAATTTTCAAAATCTTTCGAATTTTTAGGGTCTCTTGGATATTTTAGAATCCCTAGAATCTTCAAAATCTCTACAATTGCTGGAACCACTAGAATCTAAAACTTTTGGATTTTTGGAATTTTTACAATTTTTAGAGTGTCCATAATTTTTGGTTTCTCCAGAACCTCTAGAATCTATAAAAACTCTAGAATCTATAGAATCCTTCGAATTTTTCGAACCTGTAGAATCTCTAAAATCTGTAGAATTTCTAGAATCTTTAGAATCTCTGCAACTGCTGGAACCACTAGAACTAAAACTTTTGGAATCTTAGGGTCTGTAGGATACTTAGAATCCCTAGAATCTTTAAAATCTCTACAATTGCTGGAACCACTCGAATCTAAAACTTTTGGATCTTTGGAATTTTTACAATTTTTGGTTTCTTCAGAACCTCTAGAATCTATAAAAACTCTAGAATCTATATTGAAATTTTTAGAGTGCCCATAATCTTTAGTTTCTCCAGAATCTCCAGAACCTCTAGAATCTCTAGAATCCTTCGAATTTTTCGGACCTGTAGAATGTCTAAAATCTGTAGAATTTCTCGAATCTTTAGAATCTCTGCAACTACTGGAACCACTAGAATCTAAAACTTTTGGATCTTTGGAATTTTCAGAATTTTTAGAGTGCTCATAATCTTTGGTTTCTCCAGAAACTCTAGAATCTCTAAAAGCTCTGGAATCTTTAGTAGAATCCTTCGAATTTTTCGAACCTGTGGAAACTCTAAAATATGTAGAATTTCTAGAATGGCTGGAAAAACTTGTACGATTTCTAGATTCCGTATAGTTTTTTTAATTACTAGAATCTTTTGAATCTCTAGAATCTTTAGAGAGTCTGGAACCACTAGAACTAAAACTTTTGGAATCTTCGGATTTTTGGATTTTTACAACGAATTTTTAGGGTCTGTAGGATACTTAGAATCCCTAGAATCTTTAAAATCTCTACAATTGCTGGAACCGCTAGAATCGAAAACTTTTGGAATCTTTGGAATTTTTAGAGTGTTCACAATGTTTAGTATCTCCAGAATCTCTAGAGCCTCTAGAATATCTAACATCTGTATAATTTCTAGAATGGCTGGAATCGCTAGACTTTAAAACTTGTACTTTTTTCTGGAATTTCTAGATTCTGTATAATTTTTTGAATTACTAGAATCTTTGGCATCTCTGGAATCTCTCTATATCTAGATCCAATGGAATCTCTAGAAGCTTTAGAGAGTCTGTAAACTTAAGAATAATTTTCAGAATCTTTCGAATTTTTAGGGTATCCTAGAGACCCTAAAAATTCGAATGATTCTTCTCTAGTCAAAGAAAAGAAAGAACGGGAGATGGAAACGCAAAAAGTGCTCAAAGAAATCAGAGACAAAAGAAAGACGAGATTGAACGCCCGAAGAGAACGATCGATGTCTAGAGAAAAAGAAAGATCCGTGTCGAGAGAAAAAAGCATCGAGAAGATCGAAGAAGAGAAAAAAGATCCGACCAAACTCACACCAAGCAGCGAAACAACTGATTCTTTGCTCAACAACGTCTCAAACAACATCAAAAATATCGAAAACAACGTCAAAACCTTGCACGACTACATCAACGTGACGGCGCAAACCGACAACAAAGAAGCGGAAGAAAGCAAGAAGGTGATCCACGATTACGTCAACGTGGTCAAGAAACCTGAAGATGCTCCGGTCGTGAAGAAAACACGAATCTCGAAACTATTGCGTCCCAAGAGCTACCCGACCGAAAACACAGACAAAGAAAAAACGATCAAAGTATCTCCTGAGAAAGAATCAAAGATAAGTCGACTGCGCAAAGGTTTTACGCGTCAAGGCTCTAAAGAGCGCGACAAAACGAAAGAAGACAAAAACGAAACCAACAAAACCATCAACGAAGAAGAAAAAGGCCACAAGAACAAGCTGTTGCAATCTATCGAAAAAAAATTAGAGAAGTTTCGCTCTTCGTCATCTTCCGTGAAAGACTCGGATGATTCGAAGTCCAAAGAGAAGAAGTCGGGCGTGGAAAGTACCATCAAGCGCTTGCGCGAGCAAAGTTTACCCAGGAACATGGCACCCTGCACCGAGTCGGGTTTAATCAAGCGAGCCGTTTCCGTCGAAGACGTTTCGAACTTAACCTCGAACAAACCTCTCCAAGCGTCGAGGAAAAGCGTCACCAAAATCTTGAGTCTGTTCAAAAAATACGAAGAACAAGACAAAAAGGGCGACAAAGTCGTCAAGAAAAAAAAGAAGAGTGCTGATGAAGCTGTGATCCAAAACAAAAGTACTGAAAATAGCGTCAATTCTAGTCAGGACGAGGCGAAAAAGAAGCCGGAACGTCCTCGTTCGTTGTTACTCGATAAGATGAAACAATTTCAAAGTGGTGCTAGTGTAGTGAGCGACAAAGAAACTAAAGGGAGCAAAGCGTCGAAACTGCCGGTGAATTCGTTCAGACGTAGCTTGAATCTAGACGTCGAAGTCCCGAAACCTGTTAAACCCCCGGAATTAAAATTGGATTTGAGTAAGCCGAGTCAGCCAGTCCCCGACGACAACCGCAACTCGATGACGACCGACGACAGTTCGGCGTTGTTGTCGCCCGACGAGAACGCCAGCGGCGACTCGTGGTCGGTGTGCTCGGACTACCACACCCAGGAGTTGCACTCGCCGGTGTCGCCGAACGGGTTCTCGTGCGACGTGGGCGACGAGAACGAGTCGGTCATCGACCGGATCAGGAGGAAGAGCTTCTACACGAGGTTCAACGAGAAGAAGCGGCCTCGGAAGCCGAGTTTGACCCGAAACTACAAAGATTTGGATCTTTACAAAGACCCGACTTACTCTAAGAATCCGTCTGAGTACGACCGCTACAAGACCCCTCTGACGCGTCGGTCGACGTTTTCGTCGCAGGATCCGGTCAAGAGGGACTACAAGAACTACACTCGCAGTTCGTCGCTCTTGAACGACTACGTCAACGTGCCCCGCTATCAGACCTACAACGCTAAAGTGAGTCGGCCCACCACTTCGATTTATTCGGATTCTGAAGATACTACTTTGGATGAGTTGTTGACGGCTGCGAAATCCAGAAAGTAAGTTGTTGGGTGGCGCGGATGGTGTTTAATGGGTGTTTTTCAGATACAGTTCCCCCATTCAACCATCCACTTTAAGCCGAGGCTCAGTTTCTCCCGTTAACGAACAGTTTTACTTTCGACCTGCGTCTTCCGTTGCTTCCCCTACTTCATCAGAACCGGTTTAAATTTGATTCCTTCTATTTTTGTAACGTACGACACGCGGATGCTACCAGAAGCGACGAGTTGCTTTTGGCAGCATTCTTATATAGGTTTAAATCTTAATTAAATCTCATGTGATCACTAGTATACAAGTCAGACCTGAAACGTTGTTCATGTAGAGTTGTTGCATTAGTTAGTAGACTCATATCAAGTTTTTCTTCTGTTAAATTAAGGTTTCAAGACAAATCTAACAAAGTATTCTTCAGTCTTATTTATTTACATAGACTAAAGTGTAGATAAATAATGTATTATTAATATGTAAATGTTGTTTGCTTTTTTTATTTATTATAGGAATCCTAGTTTGTTTAGAGTTTTCTAGTGGTTATTTTCTATCATAATATTTATTTATTTATTAAAGGATGATATTATTTAACAAAAATTGGATTGAAAGTGTTATAAAAGTACTGTTTACTACTAAAAGTAGCAATTGTTCAAGTTTAAATGATTTTAATTATCAGTTGACTCTCAGTCTGCCACATTAAGTCAAGACAATGTGTAGCGTTATAATTTTAGGTTGAGTTTGTGTGAATTGTTAGAATTGTATGTTGAATTTGGTGATTTTATAAAAAATATACAACAAGTGAAACTTTCGCACCTTTTTTTTTCACACATGACACCCCCTAAATTTACAAGTAGACCCGTCCGAACGCTTTGCTGTCAACTGCGATTGGCCTTGACCGCTAGAATCGAAAATTTTTGGAATTTTTAGAGTGTTCACAATGTTTAGTATCTCCAAAATCTCTAGAGCCTCTAGAATATCTAAAATCTGTAGAATTTCTAGAATGGCTGGAATCGCTAGATTTTAAAACTTGTACTTTTTTCTGGAATTTCTAGATTCTGTATAATTTTTTGAATTACTAGAATCTATGGCATCTCTGGAATCTCTATATATCTAGATCCAATGGAATCTCTAGAATCTTTAGAGAGTCTGAAAACTTAAGAATAATTTTCAAAATCTTTCGAATTTTTAGGGTCTCTAGGATATTTTAGAATCCCTACAATTTTCAAAATCTCTACAATTGCTGGAACCACTAAAATCTAAAACTTTTGGATCTTTGAAATTTTTAAAATTTCTACAATTTTTAGAGTGCCCATAATCTTTGGTTTCTCCAGAATCTCCCGAACCTCTCGAATTTCTAGAATCTTTAAAATCTCTGCAACTGCTGGAATCACTAGAACTAAAACTTTTGGAATCTTCGGGATTTTTAGAATTTTTACAACGAATTTTTAGGGTCTGTAGGATACTTAGAATCCATAGAATCTTTAAAATCTACAATTGCTGGAACCGCTAGAATCGAAAATTTTTGGAATTTTTAGAATTGTTAGTGTTCACAATATTTCCAGAATCTCTAGAGCCTCTAGAATATCTAAAATCTGTAGAATTTCTAGAATGGCTGGAATCGCAAGACTTTAAAACTTGTACTTTCTTCTGGAATTTCTAGATTCTGTATAATTTTTTTAATTATTAGAATATTTGGCATCTCTGTATATCTAGATCCAGTGGAATCTCTAGAATCTTTAGAGAGTCTGTAAACTTAAGAATAATTTTCAGAATATTTCGAATTTTTAGGGTCTCTAGGATATTTTAGAATCCCTAGAATCTTCAAAATCTCTACAATTGCTGGAACCACTAGAATCTAAAACTTTTATATCTGTGAAATTTTTAGAGTGCCCATAATCTTTGGTCTCTCCAGAACCTCTAGAATTTTTAGAGTGTTCACATGTTTTGTATTTCCAGAATCTCTAGAGCCTCTAGAATATCTAAAATCTGTAGAATTTCTAGAATGGCTGGAATTGCTAGACTTTAAAACTTGTACTTTTTTCTGGAATTTCTAGATTCTGTATAATTTTTTGAATTACTAGAATCTTTGGCATCTCTGGAATCTCTATATATCTCGATCCAATGGAATCTCTAGAATCATTAGATAGTCTGAAAACTTAAGAATAATTTTCAGAATCTTTCGAATTTTTAGGGTCTCTAGGATATTTTAGAACCCCTACAATTTTCAAAATCTCGACAATTGCTGGAACCACTAAAATCTAAAACTTTTGGATCTTTGAAATTTTTAAAATTTCTACAATTTTTAGAGTGCCCATAATCTTTGGTTTCTCCAGAATCTCCCGAACCTCTAGAATTTCTAGAATCTTTAAAATCTCTGCAACTGCTGGAATCACTAGAACTAAAACTTTTGGAATCTTTGGGATTTTTAGAATTTTTACAACGAATTTTTAGGGTCTGTAGGATACTTAGAATCCATAGAATCTTTAAAATCTCTACAATTGCTGGAACTGCTAGAATCGAAAATTCTTGGAATTTTTAGAATTTTTAGAGTGTTCACAATATTTCCAGAATCTCTAGAGCCTCTAGAATATCTAAAATCTGTAGAATTTCTAGAATGGCTGGAATCGCAAGACTTTAAAACTTGCACTTTCTTCTGGAATTTCTAGATTCTGTATAATTTTTTGAATCATTAGAATCTTTGGCATCTCTGGAATCTCTGTATATCTAGATCCAGTGGAATCTCTAGAATCTTTAGAGAGTCTGTAAACTTAAGAATAATTTTCAGAATCTTTCGAATTTTTAGGGTCTCTAGGATATTTTAGAATCCCTAGAATCTTCAAAATCTCTACAATTGCTGGAACCACTAGAATCTAAAACTTTTGGATCTTGGAAATTTTCAAAATTTTTACAATTTTTAGAGTGCCCATAATCTTTGGTTTCTCCAGAATCTCTAAAATCTCTAGAATCCTTCGAATTTTTCGAACCTGTAGAATTTCTAAAATCTGTAGAATTCCTAGAATCTTTAGAATCTCTGCAACTGCTGGAATCACTAGAACTAAAACTTTTGGAATCTTCGGGATTTGTAGAATTTTTACAACGAATTTTTAGAGTCTGTAGGATACAAAGAATCCATAGAATCTTTAAAATCTCTACAGTTGCTGGAACCGCTAGAATCGAAATTTTTTGGAATTTTTAGAATTTTTGGAGTGTTCACAATGTTTACTATCTCCAGAATATTTAAAATCTGTAGAATTTCTAGAATGGCTGAAATCGCTAGACTCTAAAACTTGGGACTTTTTTTCTGGAATTTCAAGATTCTGTATAATTTTTTTTATTACTAGAATATTTGGCATCTCTGGAATCTCTGTATATCTAGACCTTTGGAATCTCTAGAATCTTTAGAGAGTCTGTAAACTTAAGAATAAGTTTCAGAATCTTTCGAATTTTAGGGTCACTAAGATATTTTAGAATCCCTACAATTTTCAAAGTCTCTACAATTGCTGGAACCACTAGAATCTAAAACTTTTGGATCTTTGGAATTTTTTGAATTTTTAGAGTGCCCCTAATCTTTGGTTTCTCTAGAATCTCCAGAACCTCTAGAATCTCTAGAATCCTTGGAATTTTTCGAATCTGTAGAATCTCTAAAATCTGTAGAATTTCTAGAATGGCTGGAATCGCTAGACTCTAAAACTTGTACTTTTTTCTGGAATTTCTAGATTCTGTATAATTTTTTTAATTACTAGAATATTTGGCATCTCTGGAATCTCTGTATATCTAGATCCTTTGGAATCTCTAGAATCTTTAGAAAGTCTGTAAACTTAAGAATAAGTTTCAGAATCTTTCAAATTTTAGGGTCTCTAGGATATTTTAGAATCCCTACAATTTTCAAAATCTCTACAATTGCTGGAACCACTAGAATCTAAAACTTTTGGATCTTTGCAATTTTTAGAATTTTTAGAGTGCCCCTAATCTTTGGTTTCTCTAGAATCTCTAGAATCTCCAGAACCTCTAGAATTTCTAGAATCCTTCGAATTTTTCGAATCTGTAGAATCTCTAAAACCTGTAGAATTTCTAGAATGGCTGAAATCGCTAGACTCTAAAACTTGGACTTTTTTTCTGGAATTTCAAGATTCTGTATAATTTTTTTTATTACTAGAATATTTGGCATCTCTGGAATCTCTGTATATCTAGATCCTTTGGAATCTCTAGAATCTTTAGAAAGTCTGTAAACTTAAGAATAAGTTTCAGAATCTTTCGAATTTTTAGGGTCTATAGGATATTTTAGAATCCCTACAATTTTCAAAATCTCTACAATTGCTGGAACCACTAAAATCTAAAACTTTTGGATCTTTGGAATTTTTTGAATTTTTAGAGTGCCCCTAATCTTTGGTTTCTCTAGAATCTCCAGAACCTCTAGAATTTCTAGAATCCTTCGAATTTTTCGAATCTGCAGAATCTCTAAAACCTGTAGAATTTCTAGAATGGCTGGAATCGCTAGACTCTAAAACTTGTACTTTTTTCTGGAATTTCTAGATTCTGTATATTTTTTTTTAATTACTAGAATATTTGGCATCTCTGGAATCTCTGTATATCTAGATCCTTTGGAATCTCTAGAATCTTTAGAAAGTCTGTAAACTTAAGAATAAGTTTCAGAATCTTTCGAATTTTTAGGGTCTATAGGATATTTTAGAATCCCTACAATTTTCAAAATCTACAATTGCTGGAACCACTAAAATCTAAAACTTTTGGATCTTTGGAATTTTTAGAATTTTTAAAGTGCCCATAATCTTTGGTTTCTCCAAAATCTCCAGAACCTCTAGAATCTCTAGAATCCTTCGAATTTTTCGAACCTGTAGAATCTGTAGAATTTCTAGAATGGCTGGAATCGCTAGACTCTAAAACTTATACAATTTCTGGAATTTCTAGATTCTGTATATATTTTTTAATTACTAGAATCTTTTGAATCTCTAAAATCTTCAGAATGTAACGAATTTTTAAGGTCTCTAGGATACTTAGAATCTAAAACTTTTGAAATCTTTGGGATTTTTAGAATTTTGACAATTTTTAGTATTTCCAGAATATCTAGAATCATTAGAATCTCTAGAATGGCTCTTGTACAATTTCTAGAATTTCTAGATTCTGCATGATTTTTTGAACTTCTAGAATCTTTGGAATCTCTGGAAACCCCGAATCTCTAGATCTTATGGAATTTCTAGTATATTTAGAAAGTCTGGAATCTTTAGAATCTCTAAAATCTTCAGAATCTAAAGAAGTTTTAGGATCTCTGGAAACCCCGAATTTCTAGATCTTATGGAATTTCTAGTATATTTAGAAAGTCTGGAATCTTTAGAATCTCTAAAATCTTCAGAATCTAAAGAAGTTTTAGGATCTCTAGGATACTTAGAATCCTTTGAACTTATGGAAGTTTTGGAATTTTTACAATTTTTAGAGTGTCCACAATCTTTAGTACCTCCAGAATTTCCAAATCTTCGAGAATCTCTAAAATCTATAGAATCTCTACAATGGCTGGAATCGCCGGACTTTAAAACTTGTACAATTTCTAGAATTTATTAATTTATTTTTTCTTAATATACATAGTATTCTTTGAACAGCACGACACTCAAAAACATGTTTTTAGTTTCTCGCAGAGAAATAAGGATTTAGCAGTTAAGCTCCGCCTTCGTAGCTCACATAGCTGCGTTCGTTCTCAGGCTGAGGGGCGGAGCGTAATTACAAAATCCATAATATTCCCTGTTTTAAACATGTTTTAAGTTCCTTATCCCGAAAAGAACACCACGAACATTAAGAAAAAAAAGGCAAAAATATAAGCCCCGCCCACCCACCCCGTCTCTATTGTGATGACTTTCTTTATTCATCGTGAGCCAAGAGGGTGGAGCTTAAAATCCTTATCTCTCTACACGAAATTATTATGTAAATGTTTTTGAGTAGGTATCGTGTTGTTCAAAGAGTACTATGTATATTAAGTAAAAATAAAGCCAAAGATTAAGCCCTACTCATATAAAATTTGACAAAATGGATACAGACGCCAGACGGACGAAAATGGGAGACTACTTTTTTGGTAATCTAGAGGTGCATGAAACGTCGAGAAAATATAAAACTGACCATTCGGAACTTCCCTCGTCCCTGACGTACGTACAATAAAACTTGCGAAAATTTGAAGACGAATTCATAAACAACAAGTACAGGAGTATGTCATTTTTACATCTCTTACGCTCCGAATGACGCATGAATCGAATCCCTCCAATTCCAAACAAAGGTGCCGCCGTACCACCCTCCGCCACTCTCCATCACCTTGACATAATTCACTCACCCTGACCTGCTATTGATCCCAAACACAGACTGTTTTGAAATGGGTGCGAAAGCATGTAAACCGTGCAAGAAGCGCAAAGCCAACACCTTCCAAGGCGGCTCCATCCTCGACCGCGTCATCAGCCAAGCCTCCAACCAAGACCAGTGCCTCCTCTACAAACTCGCCAACTACAAGAAAGGTAAGTGGACTATCATTAACCAAACGTCACACGCTGGCTTCAGGGGGCGAGCTGATCGACGCGTACAACATGGGAGGGACGGCGGAAGTTGAGAAGCTGATTCGGGAGCAGTTCGGCCAGCTGATGTACCAGGAAGGCAAGGGGCAGATCATCAACCGCTCGGAGTACTTGAGGTGGAAGTTCCGGGACCACGAGCAGGTGATTCTGCCCATCGAGGCGTCCTTGAGTCGGTACGACCCTCTGGCGAAGTGGACGGACCATGAGGCGTGTTGGCAGATGCAGTACAGGGGGTCGCTGGGGGAGTCGCTGTTGCACGTTTTGATTATCTGCGACACGAAGATTCACACTAGGTTGGCGAGGACTTTGATTAAGTGTTTCCCGAAGTTGGCGCTGGATGTGGTGGAAGGGGAGGAATACTTGGGGGCGAGTGCGTTGCATCTGGCTATAGCGTACAATAATAATGAATTGGTGCAAGATCTGGTGGAAGCGGGGGCCAATGTTAATCAGAGAGCCATTGGTATTTAAAAAAAATCACAAATCTTGTCACAATTTTTTATATTATTGTATTGTAGGAAGTTTTTTTCTTCCGAGAGACCAACAGAGACAAAAACCTGCCAAACACACAGACTATGAAGGTTTGGCGTACTTAGGGGAATACCCTTTAGCTTGGGCGGCTTGTTGTGCCAATGAAAGTGTCTACAATTTATTACTGGATAATGGAGCCCATCCAGACCTACAAGACAATTTTGGCAACATGATTCTTCACATGGTTGTCGTCTGCGATAAACTGGTAATGACTTAAGTCAGTCTATCAAATTTAGCTTGACGCTGACTTTAATGTTCAAGGACATGTTTGGGTACGCTCTAAGACACCCTAAACTCCCAGCGAGTAACGGAATTGTGAATAGAGCAGGTCTGACCCCTCTAACGTTAGCTTGTAAATTAGGACGGGCTGAAGTTTTCCGAGAAATGTTGGAACTTTCAGCTAAAGAGTTCTGGAGGTACAGCAACATCACGTGTTCGGCGTACTTTCTAAACGCCTTAGATACCCTACTACCAGACGGACGTACAAGTTAGTACCAACTTTACACCACCAACACAAAATTAAACAAAGTTTCTAGATTGGAACTCCGCCCTATTTATAATTCTAAACGGAACTAAAGAAGAACATCTCGATATGTTAGACGGTGGTATAATCCAGAGATTACTAGAAGAAAAGTGGAAAACGTTCGCACGAGTAACTCAAACCAAAAAAATATATAAACACACAATGAACACAATTTTTCAGAACCAGTTCCTAAAACGCCTCTTGATTTTGGTCGTCCACTTACTCTTTTTATCTTTAGCTGTGTATTTAAGACCGGATGACCCCGACGAGTCGCTTCTTCTATGGGCCGAAGACGTCACAGTCATAGCTAGGTACGCCAATCAAAATAACCGACGCCTGTGACGTACTATTTACTTTCAGATACGTGTGTGAATGTGGCACCATTTTGGGTGTGCTGAGCTACCTTATTTTGCAACAAGGTGACGAGATCCGAAATCAGGGAGTTACGGCTTTTTTGAAACAACAAGTATGCGTTCTGACGTTCCAACTTTTTTCTCAAAGTGTGTTTTCAGTCGAATTCGCCACCTAAATTAATCTTTCTGATTTCCAATATTTTAATTTTGGCGTGCATTCCGTGCAGATTGTACGGGGATAAGGAGACAGAAGAGGCTATTTTGTGCGTTGCGGTTCCAGGGTCGTGGTTTCTGCTGATGTTCTTCGCTGGGTTAGTTGTCAGTTTAGATGTGCCGCCTTTGCGAAAAAATAACCATACTATTACTACTTCCTGAGCGTAAACTGCCTGTCGATTGTTGTCAAATTTTGTATGTATATTAGAAATATCATGTAGATGGCTAAATGCTAACCAAAATTTGGCCAATCATTCCCACCAATAATTTGTTTATTTGATTTAACTGTTATAGAACAAAATAGTCCTATAAGTGTGGTCCATGAATCCGCGTTCAACTAGGAACTAAAAGTTGAAAATTAAAAAATCGAAGAACTGAAATTTCAAAAATTGAAAAATTCGCATTTCGCATCGATTTTTTCGAAAATGTTGCTTCGTGACCATCAATATGCTATATTTTTGGAATCAGCGTGTCGAGATCTACGTCCCTGAATTTATTCATAATTTTTGGACAACTTTTTTAAAATTGAAATTTTTTAATGGTCCCCCCTTCTTCAAATTTCGCAACAATTTTGACATTTTCGAAACTCAACTGAATACATTTTCTTGTAGATTTCGGGCTCTAGAATTCAAATCTGGCTTCGGTTTTTTGATACCCGCAACTGTTTCCAGAATCGACCGTTGAAATTTCGAAATTTTCGAAATTTTCAAAAATTCGCATTTCGCATCGATTTTTTCGAAAATGTTGCTTCGTGACCATCAACACGCTATATTTTTGGAATCAGCGTGTCGAGATCCACGTCCATGAATTTATTCATAATTTTTGGACAACTTTTTTAAAATTGAAATTTTTTAATGGTCCCCCCTTCTTCAAATTTCGCAAAAATTTTGACATTTTCGAAACTCAACTGAATACATTTTCTTGTACATTTCGGGCTCTAGAATTCAAATCCGGCTTCGGTTTTTTGATACCTGCAACCGTTTTTCCAGAATCGACCGTTGAAATTTCGAAATTTTTGAAATTTTCAAAAATTCGCATTTCGCAGCGATTTTTTCGAAAATGTTGCTTCGTGACCATCAACACGCTATATTTTTGGAATCAGCGCGTCGAGATCTACGTCCCTGAATTTTTTTATAATTTTTAGACAACTTTTTTAAAATTGAAATTTTTTAAGGGTCCCCCCTTCTTCAAATTTCGCAAAAATTTTGACATTTTCGAAACTCAACTGAATACATTTTCTTGTACATTTCGGGCTCTAGAATTCAAATTCGGCTTCGGTTTTCTGATACCTGCAACCGTTTTTCCAGAATCGACCGTTGAAATTTCGAAATTTTTGAAAACTTCAAAAATTCGCATTTCGCATGGATTTTTTCGATAATGTTGCTTCGTGACCATCAACATGCTATATTTTTGGAATCAGCGTGTCGAGATCTACGTCCCTGAATTTTTTCATAATTTTTAGACAACTTTTTTAAAATTGAAATTTTTTAACGGTCCCCCCTTCTTCAAATTTCGCAAAAATTTTGACATTTTCGAAACTCAACTGAATCCATTTTCTTGTACATTTCGGGCTCTAGAACTCAAATCCACCTTCGGTTTTTTGATACCTGCAACCGTTTTTCTAGAATCGACAGTTGAACTTTCGAAATTTTTGAAAATTTCAAAAATTCGCAATTCGCAAGGATTTTTTCGAAAATGTTGCTTCGTGACCATCAACATGCTATATTTTTGGAATCAGCGTGTCGAGATCTACGTCCATGAATTTATTCATAATTTTTGGACAACTTTTTTAAAATTGAATTTTTTTAATTTCAAATTTCGCAAAAATTTTGACATTTTCGAAACTCAACTGAATACATTTTCTTGTACATTTCGGGCTCTAGAATTCAAATCCGGCTTCGGTTTTTTGATACCTGCAACCGTTTTTCCAGAATCGACCGTTGAAATTTCGAAATTTTTGAAATTTTCAAAAATTCGCATTTCGCAGCGATTTTTTCGAAAATGTTGCTTCGTGACCATCAACAAGCTATATTTTTGGAATCAGCGTGTCGAGATCTACGTCCCTGAATTTATTCATAATTTTTGGACAACTTTTTTAAAATTGAAATTTTTTAACGGTCCCCCCTTCTTCAAATTTCGCAAAAATTTTGACATTTTCGAAACTCAACTGAAAACATTTTCTTGTACATTTCGGGCTCTAGAATTCAAATCCGGCTTCGGTTTTTTGATACCTGCAACCGTTTTTCCAGAATCGACCATTGAACTTTCAAAATTTTTGAAATTTTCAAAAATTCGCAATTCGCAGCGGTTTTTTCGAAAATGTTGCTTCGTGACCATCAACACGCTATATTTTTGGAATCAGCATATCGAGATCTAGGTCCTTGAATTTTTTCAGAGTTTTGAGACAACTTTTTTAAAATTGAAATTTTTTAATGATCCCCCCTTCTTCAAATTTCGCAAAAATTTTGACATTTTCGAAACTCAACTGAATACATTTTCTTGTACATTTCTGGCTCTAGATTTCAAATCCGGCTTCGGTTTTTTTATACCTGCAACCGTTTTTTCAGAATCGACCGTTGAACTTTCGAAATTTTTGGATATTTCAAAAATTCGCATTTCGCAGTGATTTTTTCGAAAATGTTGCTTCGTGACCATCAACATGCTATATTTTTGAAATCAACATATCGAGATCTGGGTCCTTGAATTTTTTCAGAATTTTTAGACAACTTTTTTAAAATTGAAATTTTTTAATGGTCCCCCCTTCTTTTGAAATTTTCAAAAATTCGCAATTCGCAGCGATTTTTTCGAAAATGTTGCTTCGTGACCATCAACATGCTATATTTTTGGAATCAGCGTGTCGAGATCTACGTCCCTGAATTTATTCATAATTTTTAGACAACTTTTTTAAAATTGAAATTTTTTAATGGTCCCCCCTTCTTCAAATTTCGCAAAAATTTTGATATTTTCGAAACTCAACTGAATATATTTTCTTGTATATTTCGGGCTCTAGAATTCAAATCCGGCTTCGGTTTTTTGATACCTGCAACCGTTTTTCCAGAATCGACCGTTGAACTTTCGAAATTTTTGAAAATTTCAAAAATTCGCATTTCGCAGCGATTTTTTCGAAAATGTTGCTTCGTGACCATCAACATGCTATATGTTTGGAATCAGCGTGTCGAGATCTACGTCCTTGAATTTTTTCAGAATTTTTAGACAACTTTTTTAAAATTGAAATTTTTTAATGGTCCCCCCTTCTTCAAATTTCGCAAAAATTTTGACATTTTCGAAACTCAACTGAATACATTTTCTTGTACATTTCGGGCTCTAGAATTCAAATCCGGCTTCGGTTTTTTGATACCTGCAACTGTGTTTCCAGAATCGACCGCAGAAATTTCGAAATTTTTGAAATTTTCAAAAATTCACATTTCGCAGCGATTTTTTCGAAAATGTTGCTTCGTGACCATCAACTTGCTATATGTTTGGAATCGGCGTGTCGAGATCTGCGTCTCTGAATTTTTTCATAATTTTTTAACAACTTTTTTAAAATTGAAATTTTTTAATGGTCCCCCCTTCTTCAAATTTTGCAAAAATTTTGACATTTTCGAAACTCAACTGAATACATTTTTTTGTACATTTCGGGCTCTAGAATTCAAATCCGGCTTCGGTTTTTTGATACCTGCAACCGTTTTTCCAGAATCCACCGTTGAACTTTCGAAATTTTTAAAATTTTCAAAAATTCGTATTTCGCAGCGATTTTTTCGAAAATGTTGCTTCGTGACCATCAACATGCCATATGTTTGGAATCAGCGTGTCGAGATCTAGGTCCTTGAATTTTTTCAGAATTTTTAGACATCTTTTTTAAAATTGAAATTTTTTAATGGTCCCCCCTTCTTCAAATTTCGCAAAAATTTTGACATTTTCGAAACTCAACTGAATACATTTTCTTATACATTTCGGGCTCTAGAATTCAAATCCGGCTTCGGTTTTTTGATACCTGCAACCGTTTTTCCAGAATCCACCGTTGAACTTTCGAAATTTTTAAAATTTTCAAAAATTCGTATTTCGCAGCGATTTTTTCGAAAATGTTGCTTCGTGACCATCAACATGCCATATGTTTGGAATCAGCGTGTCGAGATCTAGGTCCTTGAATTTTTTCAGAATTTTTAGACATCTTTTTTAAAATTGAAATTTTTTAATGGTCCCCCCTTCTTCAAATTTCGCAAAAATTTTGACATTTTCGAAACTCAACTGAAAACATTTTCTTGTACATTTCGGGCTCTAGAATTCAAATCCGGCTTCGGTTTTTTGATACCTGCAACCGTTTTTCCAGAATCGACCGTTGAACTTTCGAAATTTTTGAAATTTTCAAAAATTCGCAATTCGCAGCGATTTTTTCGAAAATGTTGCTTCGTGACCATCAACATGCTATATGTTTGGAATCAGCATGTCGAGATCTACGTCTCTGAATTTTTTCATAATTTTTTAACAACTTTTTTAAAATTGAAATTTTTTAATGGTCCCCTCTTCTTCAAATTTCGCAAAAATTTTGACATTTTCGAAACTCAACTGAATACATTTTCTTGTACATTTCGGGCTCTAGAATTCAAATCCGGCTTCGGTTTTTTGATACCTGCAACTGTGTTTCCAGAATCGACCGCAGAAATTTCGAAATTTTTGAAATTTTCAAAAATTCACATTTCGCAGCGATTTTTTCGAAAATGTTGCTTCGTGACCATCAACTTGCTATATGTTTGGAATCGGCGTGTCGAGATCTACGTCTCTGAATTTTTTCATAATTTTTTAACAACTTTTTTAAAATTGAAATTTTTTAATGGTCCCCCCTTCTTCAAATTTTGCAAAAATTTTGACATTTTCGAAACTCAACTGAATACATTTTCTTGTAGATTTCGGGCTCTAGAATTCAAATCCGGCTTCGGTTTTTTGATACCTGCAACCGTTTTTCCAGAATCGACCATTGAACTTTCGAAATTTTTGAAATTTTCAAAAATTCACATTTCGCAGCGATTTTTTCGAAAATGTTGCTTCGTGACCATCAACACGCTATATTTTTGGAATCAGCGTGTCGAGATCTACGTCCCTGAATTTTTTCATAATTTTTAGACAACTTTTTTAAAATTGAAATTTTTTAACGGTCCCCCCCTTCTTCAAATTTCGCAAAAATTTTGACATTTTCGAAACTCAACTAAACACATTTTCTTGTGCATTTCGGGCTCTAGAATTCAAATCCGGCTTCGGTTTCTTGATACCTGCAACCGTTTTTCCAGAATCGATCGTTGAACTTTCGAAACTTTTGAAAATTTCGAAAATTCGCAATTCGCATCGATTTTTTCGAAAATGTTGCTTCGTGACCAGCAACATGCCATATTTTTGGAATCAGCGTGTCGAGATCTACGTCTCTAAATTTTTTCATAATTTTTAGACAACTTTTTTAAAATTGAAATTTTTTAACGGTCCCCCCTTCTTCAAATTTCGCAAAAATTTTGACATTTTCGAAACTCAACTGAATGCATTTTCTTGTACATTTCGGGCTCTAGAATTCAAATCCGGCTTCGATTTTTTGATACCTGCAACCGTTTTTCCAGAATCGACCGTTGAAATTTCGAAATTTTTTAAAATTTCAAAAATTCGCAATTCGCAGCGATTTTTTCGAAAATGTTGCTTCGTGGCCATCAACATGCTATATTTTTGGAATCAGCGTGTCGAGATCTACGTCCTTGAATTTATTCATAATTTTTGGACAACTTTTTTAAAATTGAAATTTTTTAATGGTCCCCCCTTCTTCAAATTTCGCAAAAATTTTGACATTTTCGAAACTCAACTGAATACATTTTCTTGTACATTTTGAGCTTTAGAATTCAAATCCGGCTTCGGTTTTTTGATACCTGCAACCGTTTTTCCAGAATCGGCGGTTGAAATTTCGAAATTTTTGAAAATTTCAAAAATTCGCAATTCGTAGCGATTTTTTCGAAAATGTTGCTTCGTGGCCATCAACATGCTATATTTTTGGAATCAGCGTGTCCAGATCTACGTCCCTGAATGTATTCATTATTTTTGGAGAACTTTTTTAAAATTGAAATTTTTTAATGGTCCCCCCTTCAAATTTCGCAAAAATTTTGACATTTTCGAAACTCAACTGAATACATTTTCTTGTACATTTCGGGCTCTGGAATTCAAATCCGGCTTCGGTTTTTTGATACCTGCAACCGTTTTTCCAGAATCGACCGTTGAAATTTCGAAATTTTTGAAAATTTCAAAAATTCGCAATTCGCAGGGATTTTTTAGAAAATGTTGTTTCGTGGCCATCAACATGCTATATTTTTGAAATCAGCATGTCGAGATCTAGGTCCTTGAATTTTTTCAGAATTTTCAGACAACTTTTTTAAAATTGAAATTTTTTTATGGTCCCCCCTTCCTCAAATTTCGCAAAAATTTTGACATTTTCGAAACTCAACTGAATACATTTTCTTGTACATTTCGGGCTCTAGAATTCAAATCCGGCTTCGGTTTTTTGATACCTGCAACCGTTTTTCCAGAATCGACCGTTGAAATTTCGAAATTTTTGAAATTTTCAAAAATTCGCATTTCGCAGCGATTTTTTCGAAAATGTTGCTTCGTGACCATCAACATGCTATATTTTTGGAATCAGCGTGTCGAGATCCACGTCCATGAATTTATTCATAATTTTTGGACAACTTTTTTAAAATTGAAATTTTTCAATGGTCCCCCCTTCTTCAAATTTCGCAAAAATTTTGACATTTTCGAAACTCAACTGAATACATTTTCTTGTACATTTCGGGCTCTCAAATTCAAATCCGGCTTCGGTTTTTTGATACCTGCAACCGTTTTTCCAGAATCGACCATTGAACTTTCGAAATTTTTGAAATTTTCAAAAATTCGCAATTCGCAGGGATTTTTTCGAAAATGTTGCTTCGTGACCATCAACATGCTATATTTTTGGAATCAGCGTGTCGAGATCTACGTCCCTGAATTTATTCATAATTTTTGGACAACTTTTTTAAAATTGAAATTTTTTAATGGTCCCCCCTTCTTCAAATTTCGCAAAAATTTTGACATTTTCGAAACTCAACTGAATACATTTTCTTGTACATTTCGGGCTCTAGAACTCAAATCCGCCTTCGGTTTTTTGATACCTGCAACCGGTTTTTCAGAATCGACCGTTGAACTTTCGAAATTTTTGAAAATTTCAAAAATTGGCATTTCGCAGCGATTTTTTCGAAAATGTTGCTTCGTGACCATCAACATGCTATATTTTTGGAATCAGCGTGTCGAGATCTACGTTTCTGAATTTTTGGACAACTTTTTTTAAATTGAAATTTTTAATGGTCCCCCCTTCTTCAAATTTCGCAAAAATTTTGACATTTTCGAAACTCAACTGAATACATTTTCTTGTACATTTCGGGCTCTAGAATTCAAATCCGGCTTCGGTTTTTTGATACCTGCAACCGTTTTTCCAGAATCGGCCGTTGAAATTTCGAAATTTTTGAAATTTTCAAAAATTCGCATTTCGCAGCGATTTTTTCGAAAATGTTGCTTCGTGACCATCAACATGCTATATTTTTGGAATCAGCATGTCGAGATCTACGTCCCTGAATTTATTCATAATTTTTAGACAACTTTTTTAAAATTGAAATTTTTTAATGGTCCCCCCTTCTTCAAATTTCGCAAAAATTTTGACATTTTCGAAACTCAACTGAATACATTTTCTTGTACATTTCGGGCTCTAGAATTCAAATCCGCCTTCGGTTTTTTGATACCTGCAACCGTTTTTCCAGAATCGACCATTGAACTTTCGAAATTTTTGAAATTTTCAAAAATTCGCATTTCGCAGCGATTTTTTCGAAAATGTTGCTTCGTGACCATCAACATGCTATATTTTTGGAATAAGCATGTCGAGATCTAGGTCCTTGAATTTTTTCAGAATTTTTAGACAACTTTTTTAAAATTGAAATTTTTTAACGGTCCCCCCTTCTTCAAATTTCGCAAAAATTTTGACATTTTGGAAACTCAACTGAATACATTTTGTTGTACATTTCGGGCTCTAGAACTCAAATCCGCCTTCGGGTTTTTGATACCTGGAACCGTTTTTCCATAATCGACCATTGAACTTTCGAAATTTTTGAAATTTTCAAAAATTCTCATTTCGCAGCGATTTTTTCGAAAATGTTGCCTTTAAAAAGTTTGATTATTTTACCGCGTAAAATCGACAAACTGAATTCAGGATTTGAAAAATCGAAAAATCGTAAAATTAAAAAAATGCAAGTCGAAAAATTGAAAGTTGAAAAATTCAAAAATCGACAAACCAAAAATTCCAAAATTGAAAAATCGAAAATTTGCAAACTTGGGAAAAACTGCAAGTTGAAAAATTGACGAATTAAAAAACTGAAAATTAAAAATCGGCAAACAGAAAAATCCAAAAATTGTAAAAACGGAAAATTAATGCAATTTTTAGTCTTTCATTTTGTCAATATTTAATTTCTCAATTTTTAACAAAAAGAACAAAATTTTCAAACTGAAATTTTGGATTATTTTCCCGCGTAAAATTAACAAATTGAAAAGTTAAAAATTCAAAAGTTGAGAAATTAAAAAATCGACCAATTAAAAATTCAGGAGTTGAAAAATCAAAAAATCGTAAAATCGAAAAAACTGCAAATCGAAGAATTGAAAATTCAAGAACTGAAAAATTCAACAATCGACAAATTGAAAATTCGAACGTCGAAAAATGGAACAATTGACGAGATAAAAAACTGACAATAAAAAATCGCAAAATGAAAAATGAAAACAGATTTTTGTTTTTCATTTTCTCAATACATATTTAATTTCTCAATTTTTAACAAAAAGAACAAAATTTTCAAACTGAAATTTTGGATTATTTTCCCTCGTAAAATCGACAAATTGAAAAGTTAAAAATTCAAAAGTTGAGAAATTAAAAAATCGACCAATTAAAAATTCAGGAGTTGAAAAATCAAAAAATTGTAAAATCGAAAAAACTGGAAGTCTAAGAACTGAAAATTCAAAAATTGAAAAGTTCAACAATCGACAAATTGGAAATTCGAACGTTAAAAGATCGAAAAAACTGCAAGTGGAAAAATTGGCGAAATAAAAAACTGACAATTAAAAATCGCAAAAAAAAAATCCAAAAATGGGAAAAACCAAAAATTAATACAGATTTTTAGCTTTTCGTTTTCTCAGTGTTTACTTTCTCAATTTTTAACAAGAACAAAATTTTCAAAATGAAATTTTGGATTATCTTCCCGCGTAAAATCGACAAATTAAAAAGTTAAAAATTCAAAAGTTGCAAATTACAAAATCGACAAAAATTCAGGAGTTGAAAAATCGAAAAATCGTAAATTCGAAAAAACTGTAAGTCGAAAAATTGAAAATTTGTAAACCTGAAAAAAACTGACGATGAATAAAGTAATTCATCACAATTGAGATAGGGTGGGTGGGCGGGGCTTATATTTTGCCTATTTTTCTTAATATTCGCAGTCTTCTTTTCGCAACAAGAAACTTAAAGCTTGTTTAAAACAGTAAACACGCATTTTGTAATTACGCTCCGCCCCTCAGTCTGACAAAGAATGGAAAATTCATCTTTTTTTTATTTAATACATATAGTTTTCTCCGAGCAACACCATTACTGAAGAGCATGGTAATTCTTGTAGAAAAATACCGATTTTGCAATTAAGCTCCGCCCCTCTGGACTAACGACGAATAAAGAAAAAGCGCCACAATTGAGACAGGGTGGGTGGGTGGGGCTTATATTTTGTTTTACAAAGCCCGCCCACCCGCCCAATCTCATTTGTGATGAATTTTTCATTCGTTGTCAAACCCAGGGGCGGAGCTTAATTATAAAATCGACGTTTCCCGACAAAAGTTACCATTTTACAACAGTCGACCAATTTTTTTTATTGGAATCCCCAAATTTTCTAGAGCTGTACGCCTGACGGGTCCTTTCGTCACCATGATCTACAGCATGATCACCGGCGACATGTTGACGTTCGGGATAATCTACACCGTCGTACTTTTCGGGTTTTCCCAGTCCTTCTATTTTCTTTATAAGGGTTTCCCGGGAGTGAAAACGTCGCTATATAATACGTACGCTAGTACTTGGATGGCCCTTTTCCAAATCACGCTGGGCAACTATGACGTAAGCACTGTGACCACAACGAGACCCAAAATAACGCTAATTTTAGTACCAGGAACTGTCCCTAACGACGTACCCAGGCGTCAGCAAAACCGTATTCCTGCTTTTCATGGTATTCGTACCCATTTTACTACTCAACATGTTGATAGCCATGATGGGTAATACCTACGCGCACGTGATTGAACAAAGCGAAAAAGAATGGGTGAAACAATGGGCAAAAATAGTAATCGCGCTGGAACGGGCTATCCCTCAGAGCGACGCCCAGCACTACCTACAAGAGTACAGTATTTCCTTAGGTCCCAGCGAACAAGACCCAACTATAGAAAAAAGAGGAGTGTTAATCATTAAATCGAAAAGTAAGACTCGAGCGAAGCAAAGAAAAGGAGCGGTGGCTAACTGGAAGGTACACACAATTTCTAGACTTTCAGCAACACCTAGACACTTACTAAGTATATATTTGTGGTTGCAGCGAGTCGGTAAAGTGACCATTAACGCCCTCAAGAAAAAAGGTCTAACCGGAGAGGAAATGAGGTGCCTTATGTGGGGTCGCGAGTCCATAAACACCCCCATCAAAGTAAAAAAACCCATAAAGGACCCTTTGTCCGACCCGCAAGGACCAAACCTTACGGGTGGTTTCGGGGATGCTTTAACCACGGCCTTGGACGTCATGGCGTTCACTCACGACCTAGACATAGTGAGTGCTTCTCAGGGTTTAAATTTAGCCACAAACACTAAACCCGTAACCACCACTACCCCGACTACAACGGTTACGAATACCGTTACCATCAACAACCAAATAAACTCGGCTTTAAACGCTCAACAAAAGGCTATAGCTGGTGCCGGGGTGGGAGCCATGGCGATGATCGGCACCGTAACCCAGCTCACGGACTCACAAGGCCACATCACCACCACCAAAAACACGAAGAAAGACGACGGGGTCAAAGCAACCAGTTCGGAAGACCCGTTCAGAGAGCTGGTGATCAACTCAAACGACAGCAACTGCGATCCAGAAAAACTAAAAATGTTGGCGCTATCAGCAGCCGATTTACGTGACGTCGAAGAAGTGTCCATATCGAAACAGCAACCCAAAAGTGTGAAAAGTTTGGCCGGGATTTTCGCAGGAACCGAGACTTTCGTGCGGAAGGTCGAAGAAACGATTAAGAAAAAGTATGCGGCGTTGGACCCGAGCGACAGCGAGGGTTTCGGAGGTATTTAGAACTCACGAATCGATTACTTTTTTTTTAATTAAGTGTTACAGAGCCACCGCTGTTGGGTAAAGTTTCCCGAACCCGACGCGCCAAATCAGCCAATTTGCGCAACTCCTCGGCAAAGTCGAAGGCGTCAGATAAGAAAAAGTTGGTGCCCGGGTCACAATCCAGCTCCACCGACACCGTCAACAATGAAGCCAACGACAAAGCGAGCGAAAACTCGGACCTCGACTATGCCGAAGAAAGAATCAAACTGGTCAAAGAATCCTTGAAACAAGCCGTCGATGTGGCCCAAATCCGACCAATCAACATCGACGTGGCGCTCGGCGAAGAGCAAGTGTAAGCATTTTTTGGATAATAACGAGGGGTAAACGCCGACCATCAAGTGTACAATTGATTTCCTGTTGATTTCCCCCGATTTCTTTTGATTTCCTATGATTTCCTTTTGATTTCCTCAAAATTTTTTAAATGTGCAATTTTTAAAGAAGGGGTTTTCATTGGAATTGAAAATGAGATCAGGTAAATTAATAGCTATTTAACGAACAAGTTTGTTAATAAAGATGATTAATAACCGAGATATTTTAATGCGCGAGGAACGAGTTTTTATATTTTTTCTTTTTCTCAATTTGGAATTTTTCAGTTTTTGGATTTTTCAATTTTTTTTGTTTTCAATTTTTCGTTTCTTCAATTTTTGATTTGCAGGTTTTCTAATTTTCATTTTAGATATGTAATAATAATTATAATTTTTATTAGAGTTGTTCACTTTTTCAATTTTTCGTTTTTGGACTTTACGAACATTTTTCGATTTAATTCGTTCTTTGATTCATTAATTTTTTCTCGATGTCTAGTTTTTCAATGTTTCTATTTTTCGTTTCTTCAGTTCTACAATTTTGTCAAATAAATGTTATATAAATTAAAAAAAAAAGTAACAGTGTACCTATGGTATATGAATCCGTGTTGAATTTTTATCTTCGACATCGAAATTTTTGTGGAAAAATAAAGCAAAATTGAATTACAATTTTTCGATTTCTTGATTTCTCGATTTTTAGTTTACTTAATTGTTCGATATTTCAGTTTTACAATTTTTGCAATTTAAAAAAAAAATCATTTTTACATTTCTCAATTTCTCTATTAATCAATTATTTGATTTTTCGATTTTTCCTCTTTCCAATTTATCGATTTTTCAGTTTTTCGATTTCTCAAGTTTTCGTTGTTCCAATTTTGGGATTTTTCAATATCTCCAATTTTTTAATTTAAAATTTTTCACTTTTTTGATATATCGATTTCTCGATCTTTCGATTTTTAAAATTTCTGATTTTTCGAATTTTGAATATTTTGATTTATCGTTTTTTTAAGTTTAAATATGTATTTCAGTTTTAAATTTTCCGGTTTTTCGATTTCTCCATTTCTCGGATCTTTTGATGTCTCAATTTTTTAATTTCGATTTCTCGGCTTTTCCATTTTTCAATTTTTTATTTCTTCAAGTTTTTAGATTTTTAAAATTCTCCATTTTTCGATTTTATGTTTTGTTATGCTTCGATCTCCCGATTTTAACCTTTTTAACGTGTATTCCAATTTTTCGATTTTGGAATTTTCGATTTCTTACATCTTGATTTTTCGTTTTTTCGATTTTACAATGTTTTTACTTTTCGATTCTGGATTTTTCAAGTTTTCAATTTCTCAATTTTTCAACATTTCAATTTTGAGAATGTCTATATTTTTCAGTTTTTTTATATTTTCATTTTTCAACTTTTTAAATTTTGATTTTTCGACTTACCGGAAATCGATTTTTGGGTTTTTCAATTTTTCGACTTTTCAGTTTTGAGATTTTTCTTCAAGTTTTCGAATTTTTAAATTTAAAATTTTTCAATTTTTCGATTTTATTTTTTTTACGTTCCGAACACCCGATTTTAATTTTTTTTATGCTTTTCAATTTTTGGTTTTTCTAAATTTTCATTTTTCCATTTCCCAATTTCTCGATTTTTCGACTTTTTGATTTTGTGTTTTTTTTAAATGTTAAATTTTTCGTTATTGTAATTTTTCTATTTTTCAAATTTTAGATATTTAGATTTTTCGACATCTTGAATTCTCGATCTTTTTTCAGTTTGAATTCCTCGGTTTTTCGATTTTCCAAAATTTCGATTTTTCAATCCTTCGATTTTTGAAAATTTTCGATTTCTCGATTTTTCAGTTTTTGATTTTCCAACTTTTAGAGTTTGCAAATTTCACGAGTTTACAGATTTTAATTTCGTCAATTTTTCCTGTGGGTTTTTAATTTTCTTTATTTTTTCAATTTTCCGTTTTTTTAATTTTTCATTTGCAGTTTTTCTAATTTTCATTTTAATTATGTAACACTCCTAATAATTATAATTTTTAAAGTTGTTCACTTTTTCAGTTTTTGGAATTTTTCAATTTTTCGGTGTTTGAATGTCACAGTTTTTGGACTTTACAATTTTCAAGATTCTATAATTTTTCGATTTTCCAATTTTTGGATTTTCCAATTTTTCAATTCGAATTGTTTTTCTTCTTTCCCATTCTTCGATTCATTAATTTGTTTTTAGATTTTTAAGTTTCTCGGTTTTTAGTTTTTCATTGTTTCAATTTTTCATTTTTTCGGGTTTTTAACTTTTTAACTTAACAAAATCGAAAAATTATAAAATAGAAAAATTGTAAAACTGAAAAAGTACAAAATGAAAGCTTCGAAATATAAAAAAATTGGAAATCAAGAACTCAAAAAATCAAAGATTGAAAATGGAAAAAATTGAATAAACAAAAAATTATAAAATCCAAAGAAACATTGAAAAAATAAAGATAATGGAAAAATGAAAAATTGTGATATAAAATCAAGAAAATGAAAATTACAAAATCGGGAAAATGAAAATATCGAAAATCTGAAAAATATAGAAATTGAAAAATTCCCAAAATGCGATGTTTAAAATTGAGATAGCGAAAACTTAAAAATCGAGAAATCGAAAATTCCAAAAATGGAAAAATTGAAACACATTAAAAAATTTAAATCGGGAAATCGAAACATAAAGATTATAAAAGGGAAAAATGAAAAATTTTAAAAATCGAAAATTTTGAAAATCGAAAAAGCAAGAAATCGAAATCGAAAACTTGAGACTTCAAAAGATCGAGAAATCGAAATAGACCGAAATCGGAAAATTCAAAATTGAAATATTTACTTAAAAAGAAGATAATAATTATAATTTTTAAAGTTGTTCACTTTTTCGGTTTTTCGTTTTTGGAATTTTTCAATTTTTCGGTGTTTGAATGTCACAGTTTTTGGACTTTACAATTTTCAAGATTCTATAATTTTTCGATTTTCCAATTTTTGGATTTTCCAATTTTTCAATTCGAATTGTTTTTCTTCTTTCCCATTCTTCGATTCATTAATTTTTTTTAGATTTTTAAGTTTCTCGGTTTTTAGTTTTTCATTGTTTCAATTTTTCATTTTTTCGGGTTTTTAACTTTTCGAATAAACAAAATCGAAAAATTATAAAATAGAAAAATTGCAAAACTGAAAAGTAGAAAATGAAAGCTTCGAAATATAAAAAAATTGGAAATCAAGAACTTAAAAAATCAAAGATTGAAAATGGAAAAAATTGAATAAACAAAAAATTATAAAATCCAAAGAAACATTGAAAAAATAAAGATAATGGAAAAATGAAAAATTGTGATATAAAATCAAGAAAATGAAAATTACAAAATCGGGAAAATGAAAATATCGAAAATCTGAAAAATATAGAAATTGAAAAATTACCAAAATTGCGATGTTTAAAACTGAGATAGCGAAAACTTAAAAATCGAGAAATCGAAAAATTTTTAAAATTGGAAAATTGAGATATGAGAAATCGAAAATTCCAAAAATGGAAAAATTGAAACACATTAAAAAATTAAAATCGGGAAATCGAAACATAAAGATTATAAAAGGGAAAAATGAAAAATTTTAAAAATCGAAAGTTTTGAAAATCGAAAAAGCAAGAAATCGAAATCGAAAACTTGAGACTTCAAAAGATCGAGAAATCGAAATAGACCGAAATCGGAAAATTCAAAATTGAAATATTTACTTAAAAAAAAGATAATAATTATAATTTTTAAAGTTGTTCACTTTTTCGGTTTTTCGTTTTTGGAATTTTTCAATTTTTCGGTGTTTGAATGTCACAGTTTTTGGACTTCACAATTTTCAAGATTCGATAATTTTTCGATTTTCCAATTTTTGGATTTTCCAATTTTTCAATTCGAATTGTTTTTCTTCTTTCCCATTCTTCGATTCATTAATTTTTTTTTAGATTATTAAGTTTCTCGGTTTTTAGTTTTTCATTGTTTCAATTTTTCATTTTTTCGGGTTTTTAAATTTTCGAATAAACAAAATCGAAAAATTATAAAATAGGAAAATTGTAAAACTGAAAAAGTACAAAATGAAAGCTTCGAAATATAAAAAAATTGGAAATCAAGAACTTAAAAAATCAAAGATTGAAAATGGAAAAAATTGAATAAACAAAAAATTATAAAATCCAAAGAAACATTGAAAAAATAAAGATAATGGAAAAATGAAAAATTGTGATATAAAATCAAGAAAATGAAAATTACAAAATCGGGAAAATGAAAATATCGAAAATCTGAAAAATATAGAAATTGAAAAATTCCCAAAATTGCGATGTTTAAAATTGAGATAGCGAAAACTTAAAAATCGAGAAATCAAAAAATTTTTTAAATTGGAAAATTGAGATATGAGAAATCGAAAATTCCAAAAATGGATAAATTGAAACACATTAAAAAATTAAAATCGGGAAATCAAAACATAAAGATTATAAAAGGGAAAAATGAAAAATTTTAAAAATCGAAAATTTTGAAAATCGAAAAAGCAAGAAATCGAAATCGAAAACTTGAGACTTCAAAAGATCGAGAAATCGAAATAGGCCGAAATCGGAAAATTCAAAATTGAAATATTTACTTAAAAAGAAGATAATAATTATAATTTTTAAAGTTGTTCACTTTTTCGGTTTTTCGTTTTTGGAATTTTTCAATTTTTCGGTGTTTGAATGTCACAGTTTTTGGACTTTACAATTTTCAAGATTCTATAATTTTTCGATTTTCCAATTTTTCAATTCGAATTGTTTTTCTTCTTTCCCATTCTTCGATTCATTAATTTTTTTTTTAAATTTTTAAGTTTCTCGGTTTTTAGTTTTTCATTGTTTCAATTTTTCATTTTTTCGGGTTTTTAACTTTTCGAATAAACAAAATCGAAAAATTATAAAATAGAAAAATTGTAAAACTGAAAAAGTACAAAATGAAAGCTTCGAAATATAAAAAAATTGGAAATCAAGAACTTAAAA